GTACGTACTCAGCACGATACAATCAGCAACTCAGAGTGCCAATTGGCTAGCGTATGTCGGATGATCACTCCTCAATGTATTATTATCACTTTGCCCGACTAGGTGATAGCAGTATTCATAATGACCAGTCAATTTGATAAATTAATCAATATCACATTGCATGCCCTTTTTGGTCATTATGAATAATGCCTGATTAATCACTTTGTCCATAACATATGAACACACATTCTACATAATAATGCAATGCAAAGCAAGATTATAACTTGGCATTAATTAAAGTACCATAATTTTTGCATATAACCTGCAAAGGTGCAAAAATCGTGCTTATTTTGCCAATTATTTGCAGGAAATTATAATAATATTTTAAATTTTTTGTTCACAAACATTGAAATAATTTCAGTTTTTGGAATTCAGTTTATTCAACTTCATTACACTGAATTCAAAGAATCGCTATATTATTTGAGGAGTTATTTTCAATTAAATGTTTTTTGAGGCCTTTTTGTCTCGTTGCATCAAATACTTAAAGGAGTTGAATTCAAAATTCTGATGTGTCTCGTTAGAATTTATTTGTTCTGTCTTTGAATCTTTTTAAACGTTTGATCTGATAAGACAGATAGATCCTGGAAAATAATTAATTGGAAACAAGATGATTCATTGAATTTTATTGTGATTCTTTGAATTACAGTAGAGCGTCGTTTATCCGAATCGATTGGGGACTGGGATTGTTCGAATAACCGATTATATACGAAAAAATATATTAACCTATCCCGTGTTGAAATTTTTCTCCGTTGCATATCGCTTCGCGTTGAATTTTCGTTGATGTTAAACCTAATGTAAACTTTTTAAAATAATAATTGTGGCTATTGTATCATTAAAAATTATAGTATTTCTTTATTTTTTACAAACAAAATAAATATATTGAAAAATATAAAAACAAAAAAATATATACTTTAGAAGTTAATCTAGTATCAAAAACGTTCGATTCAGCATGACAGTCCTCAGAAAAATACCATACAAAAGTGTCAGTGCTGCCAACTGAAACACACACCAACAAAAAAAAATATTGGAGTAGCCCAAGATATAGCCAAAGATTGCAGTGCCACAGAACTAGTGAAAATTTAAACTTGCCGACTGGAATGCTTTCGGATAAACAACGCTCTACTGTAATTTATTTAGTTATTAACTTAAATCAGATATTAAGGAAGTGGAGAATATTGAAAACTTAATGCAAAATTTCATAATAATTAAAAATGACAAACAATAAAGCAATTTGAATTGTAGGTTAAGTAAAGCTTATATTCTAAATTATATATAGAAATTTCATTCATAGACGGATAGAAAAGTTTTGTGTTTAATTAATCTGTTGTTAAAGCGGGCTTCTAGATCTAATAGATGCTCGCTTTATCAACCGGTTGGTACCGAAAAATATAAATCAAGTACGTGATGGGTATTTATTACAAAGTAATCGTTAGTGTTGTAACGTAGGTTAAATTTAATGTAGGAGAGTGTATAAAGTGATAACCTAGTAATACGACACGTAAATTTAGATTATTCTGGTGGGTGAGTAAGTTATAAGTTAGCAATAAGGAGTGCTTTGAATGCTTTTTAAATATTCTTTTTTGTGAACTTTTTTAGTGGCATTCAAGTTATCCAAGAAAGTTAAAATAGATGGATGTGAAATTAAAGTAACATTGGCAAGTGCAACGAGCCAGAGACAATTAGGTGAGTCAATGTGGTTTTTCCCAAGAAATAATATACAGGATTTGTAAAAAAAAAACCGAAAGTTTTTGGGGTTTTTTCCAGTAACTTATCACATGAGGAATTCTTATTGACATAGATTTCATCGATAGTTTATCAGTACATACATGAAACTGGAAGAGCCCTAAAAATTAGATTAAGAGAACATTTATGTGCTATAAAATATAATTACACTAATTCATCAGTGGCCATACATTGTAAAGGGGAAGGTTGCGATATCTCACTTGATAATGTTAAAATACTCAAAAGTGAAAAAAAATATAAAAAGAAAACTTTTATAAAATTTAGAAATTATTAAAATAAATGAATAAAAAATGAACTTGACTGATTATAGTCTATTAGTGAGATCGGGCTACCATTCCTTCATGACAGGTAGAGTCCATTGGAGAATTCATCCAAACCCTTTTCCTCCCATTAGGTTATAATACACTGTGTTGTATATTTGTCAATTTATGTTGATCTCAGAGTGTAATTTGTATAATTTTATGATGGTTTTAAGAGTTTTTACTTTCAATTTTTTTGAAGAAAAATGTAAAAGTATAGCGGAGCACGAAAAAGGCACCATACCAGAGAAGTCCATAGAATCATCAAAGAAACCACGAAACCAGAAAATTGATCAAATTGAAAATAGTTCGTTTTATTCTCGGCAATTCTCATCATTCTCAGCGGTAGGAGTTATGTAACAATTACTGAGGTTTTTGAAATACTAAATATAAATGGGGTTTGCTTGCAAAACCTTCGCGGGCGAAGTCGCGGGTGACAGCTAGTGGCCAATATGTCTAGCGTTGTCGTAAGTTAAAATCAAAAATCGGAACATAAGACAGCTTTGTGAGATAACATTTTGATAATAATCGATGGATTCTCAGCATTAGGTAGGTAGTAACTATTTCAAAAAAATAAATGAATAATTCTAATTAAATTCATTTTATTGAATTATCAATTAAAGAACATGTTTTATCGTTTGTTGCTTAAACACTATATAGTGCAATAAATTCGAACACTTGGAATTTTTCATCTTTAGTTTAGTTCAGTACGCATTTTCTCTTCGTAGGATGAAATCCGCCGTTTCTGTTTCTGTAAATTTGTTTGATAATCTGAAACCGTGTCGTAATTATTCTTTGTTGCTTAAACACTAAATAGTTTAGTAAACGGCGGACTTTATCCTACGAAGAGAAAATTCATATGACCCAACATCAGGATAGCGAATACGAGAAAAAGATACAAGGTTCAACTGAACTAAAATAAAGATAAAAGAGTGCCAAACGTTCGAATTTATTACACTACATAGTGCTTAAGCAACAAAGAAGAATTACGACACGGTTTCAGATTATCAAACATGTTTTTTAGTTAAAATATGTAACATAATAACAATGATTTCGTACGGAAACCCAGCTGCTCCATTTTGGATCTGACTGAACCATGATGAATATGATTAAATGTAACGGACCTGTCAGTTCCATAAAAAGAAATAGCAAAATAAAACGAAGAAAACAAAAAAGATCTACATTACGGCATTGTCAGTGGATATCCTTCACCATCAACACCATCGTTGATGTTAAAGCCACCGTGACACATGACAGTATTCAGAATATGATACACCAAAGATTTCTAAAATTCGTGCACATTTGATGTTGTGAGAACAACTGTCGCATGCACGCACAAAATCTTATCGCCTAGAAATGTTATTTGACTATTTTGAGAAATTGAAATGAAGAAATCGAAGCATTTTGGGAAAATTTTCCAATCGTGACGAAGTTATCCAAATCTGGACGTGTGGCAACTGTGCGGTGTAAATTCTTGACTGGAATTTTGAAAAGTCTCCTGGAAACTAGTTACAGAGAATAGTATTTGTTCAGTGTCGAATATTTTCGAATTTTTCAGATTTTTGTAAAATGTTTATGAACAAACAATTTCCGTAACAAAATTGTATCAAGGCATAAATTATTTTTAAAAATTTGATATGTAATACGGTAGTAACTTATTATGGATAAAAATTCTATCTATAACCATTTTAGTTATCAATTAATGTTGTGTTCAAAATTCTTGATATCAGCTCTGACGACCTACGAGTTTGAAGAATAAGTAATATACGATTTAATAAATTTTCTAGACTTTCTAAGCAGAAAAGTTTAAATCATAACAACTATTATTTTTATAAATTTGACATAAGAAGTTAAACAATTATGACAATTAAGCTGTATGACAATTAAGCTGTAAAGAATTATTCGTTAAATATAAATTATATCCATTTCTGTATAAATATCATATCAGCGATGAAATATTTGAATTTCGCTCTTACATTTAGGTCATCAGTTTAGTGTTTTTAACTCTTTCTGTACTGTGTGTATAAGGAAACTTTTTCAGGTCCATTGTTGGTTCAGCAAGGCCAACAGTGGGATGTCCTGAAGGCCAGGAAAGGGCCAAAACACCACAAACTTCCTAGGATTGCTCGTCACAGTTATCCAGAGTTTTTGGTTGACAACTTAACAGCGTGGGTCATATAGATTATGACCCACGCTATTAAGTTATATAAGTTATAATATGGTCAGCTATTCCATTGATATGTTTATATTGGCCTACAAATAGAATATACTGTACAAAGAATATCTGTTGCTTCAATTAAAACGTGACCAAATCTGGGATAGTAAGATCGATTCGACCGAGTAACAAATATCCGTTTAAAATTCATTTCAGTCTATATCCCGGTTACATTTCTAGTAATCGGATGTAAATAAAACCTCTCTATCTCCATGTATAGTTTCTTAAATAGATTTTTTAATGTTTAAAGTACAAATACTCAATGCTTGAAGAAATAATAATAATTATTATTGAACGAATATTTTCTGTTACGTAGCAATTGGTACTTCAACTGTATTATACAATTACAAAATTTCAGTAGAAATTCATGCAGTTTATTTCATAATTCGTTACGCAATTATCTTAACATCAGTTAAATTTACATTGAATTTTCATTGCAAAATAAAAGAAGATTTTAAATAATTCTTCTTGTAATCAGTGAAAGTGTAAAATTTGTACATCTTATAACGTTGGAATAAAACGTAACTAAGATACTTATTAATACGATTAAATACTCATGACGTGTAATTAAATATATGATATTTTCAGAGTATAATTATATTTAACTATTGGTCGCCAGTTACTTTATCTTCTTCAGTAGGATTTTCTGGTTATTATGTTGCTTACTGTGTTGGTTCTTCTGGTTCTGGTTCTTCTGGTTTTTCTGTTTCTGGCTCTTCTGGTTCTTTTGTAGGTTTTACTTTATCTTCTCTACACTTTAAAACGATATCGAAGAACTAAAACACGATATAAAGAAAGTTTCATGAAAATACTGTCACTACTAAATACATAAGCAAAATTAAAATAATTATTTTCTTGATAACACGAAATTTTAAATTAACTTACATTTTTACCGATTTTACAAGTCGTTCCATCCGGACATGGACAACCACCTGAGTAAACATCCTTATCTTCTAAAAGCCTTGATATAACGCAGTAATCATCTAAAAAGAAACTAATTGTTTGATTACAATAATTAATAATAAAGTATATATATATATCTTTAGATAACTACATCCAGTATATAAATTTTGTAAAAAAAAAGAAACTAATTGTTTGAATATAAGAAATTTTTTACTATTGTAATATATCAAATTGCCACTAAATATTAGAATTAGTTTTATAAAATGAAATTAAAAAAATAGATATGTGCATGTATGTGCATACATAGTAATTCAGTAGTTTTGTCTATTTTACACTAACTTTTAATTGTGATTTTTCTATTGAAAGTATTTAGGAATATTTTTTTCATTTAATTATCTTGATTTATTATTGCTAGATACTTTCAATGAATTTTACAAATTAAAATTATGAGTTAATTATTTGTAAATTTTACATTTGAATAGTTTTATTTTAAATATTAATTCTAAACAAATGTTATATTTATATTTTAGATTCTCCATGGTATAAGCCATATTTATATAGAACTTTTATAGAATCAAGTTTATTATTGGGAAAATTATATGTAATGATTGGTGCACCAAGAGAAGCTCAATGTTTCTTACAAGAAAGCTTTACAGTTGCACAAGGAATTATTTTGGCAAATAGGTTAATTCTTTATCTAGATTTCTTTGTCTTCTCAAAATATGATTAAATTTAATACAATTTTCTTCTTTCTCTACAGAACAATAAGTATTTTAATATTGCTGGCACAACTGGACTTATTATGTGAAAATTATGATGATTGTAATACAAAGATAATAAATTTGAAAAATATTTTGAATTTTAATATAAGCATCATTGGATTTGAAAATATCATTGAAGGAATATATTCACACAATGAAGAAAATGTTGTAGAGAAAGAACAGGAGAAAGAATTATTTATTTTTAATAAGTCTGGAAGACGTTTGAAAGCAGAAGTGCGTAGTGTGTTTTTAAACATTGAAGATCCTCAATCATCACCACCACAACAGAGAAAACAAAATATTATAATTCCATCATTTTTTAATCATCCAACATCATGTTCTTGTGAAATTTGCCAATACATAGCCCTCCATTATCAATTTTTAGAATTAATGGAATTACAATCATCTCTCAATCACTATTCTTTTGATAAGAAAGAAAAAATATTTCTTGATATTTTAAAGTATTATGAAATTATATTATTAAAACGAAAAAATGTATTTACATCAATCTTACCATTTATTTTTTGGAAAGATAAAAAAGGAATGATAGAAAATAAAAATGAAATAGTGATGAAATCAGACATTTCTCTATTTTGCCGTGTTTCATGTAAATTAGCAATTCTTAATGCAACACAAAATAAATTCAGTACTGCACTCAATAATCTGAATAATGCTTTTATTCAACTAGATAAATCATCTAAAATTCATGAAATAATCTATGCAGATTTATTCTCAGAATTAACATTACAAAAAGTTTTTATATCCCTTCAATATGTATTTAAACAAAAAGATGAGAGTAAAAGGATATTGAATGTTTGTGGAAATGTATCTTCAGAAATGTCCTCAATTGCTGAGAAGATCAGTAAATTAAATTTAGATGATGATGATAATTCATCAAGTGATGAATTTGTAAAATTGCCTATGAAATATCTTACAAAAACACCAGGAAAAGTATCTGCAAAGGGAAGAAAAGGATGTAGAGCACCAAAAAAGAAAAAAGCCCCTAATCTCTACATGGAAAAATATATTGAAAGTTTAGACAAATCAGATGACTCATTATGTAGTAATCTGGAAAGTGATGAAAATACAGATTTTCATAATCCCAAAATTCAAAAAGAGTCACAAAAGCTTAAAGCAGAAATGTTTAAGTATTCTCACAAAAACAATTACAACTTATCTGGTAAAGCAGATAAGTCTAAAAGTGGCCAAAACATGTTAAAGAAAGATGATAATATAGATGATTTTCATTCTAAAATTATATCAACTGAAATTAACCAAGAAAAAGTGAGTCATCGAGAAATGCAAAAAGTTGACATAGATGATATATGTTTATTTTCTTCTCCACCTAAAACATATTCTACTCGACATAAAAAGAAAAAAATTTCTAAAATAAAAAATACTGCAGAGAAACATAAGTCAAAAGAAAAGATTGAAGATAGACGAAATGCTGATGATGGTGATGATGATTTTTTCTTATTTCACAATACTATTTTGGACAATTCCATGTTTTCAAAAATGTCAAATTCTCCATTTGATCAATCAGACCACATGGCTAATAATAAAAATTTAGCAGAATCAAAATGGATGACCCCTGAAATTTTTCGGACAGGAGATGATAGTCTAAACACTATGACAACACGTTCAAAAACAAGAAAAAAATTAATATTAAACGATTCAAAAAATCATTCATCTCATCAGAGAATTACAAGAAAGAATAGTGAAAATCAAGAAGCAGTTGAATCTGTAGTAAGATCATCAGTAACAGATGATATTTTAAATAACAGTTTTAATGAAATTTCAAATACTATTACATCTCAGATTAAACATCAAGAATTTGATGAAAAAGAACATATAGGTAAGTATATCTGTTTTAAAATGCAATACTTATTATTTCTTCAAGCTGGAACTGCTGTACAAATTGATAATACACTGACCTTTCATTCATTTCCAACAATGCCATTGATATACATGCAAAGCAAATGTTTTCAGCCTCTTTCAGGGGACAACCTTACTTTGCATGTAAATTGATGGCATTGCTGGAAACAAACGAGAGGTCAGTGTATTATCAAAATGTAATGCAGTATTAATTTATATATGTTGTTATTGATAATATATTGATCAANTAGTAGATAGTTACACACTATATAATATGTTTTCTCAAAAATATTTTTAATAAATATTTAAATATATTAAATCGACATCTTTCTGAATAAACATTTATTCAGAAAGATGTCGATAAATTCGACATTTTATTGAAAATTAAGGACACAGTTTACGTGCTTGTAACAAAATTCATTTGTTAAAAGCTTTGAAATTATATTCGAAATTGAGTAAGTACAACTCTTATTGTATAATTCAAGAAATATGTAAAAAAGATGAAGGACATACGCGTTAATTCGTAATCAAATTCATGTCACATTTCTACATAATCTAATACACTACTTGAAGTTTAATATTAGCTCACCAGCAGTATTATACTGTACATATAACATGAAGACGACTTTTAAGATATATTGTTTATAATCTTAGAATAGCATTATATAATCTATATAATGCTCTTTAAATTAATAAACCAAATTTTAGTGTAAAAGGAAAACCTTTGATATTTATTAATATAATATCTATAAAATACATTTATAACAATTTTTATTAGAGATCTAATGTAATTAATTCAAGATAAAATGTTAAATTTGTCTCCATCGTTTTACTTAACACTTATATTAATTAAATTTAAAATATTTATTATTTTTTAAAAGTGAATAATTTCAATAATTCATACCAGAGTTTATAATAAATCAATTACCGGTAAATTTATTATTTATAAAAAATTTAATTGATGTTTAATAAATAAATTTTAAATATAAATACTTTTTTTCTATATATTGTGATATAGTCATAATGCCGGCCTGCAACTTTCCGGTACAATGTTCTCAAACTTTTTAGTACAGTAGTTGTTTTCTCCTGTACATCATACCTTTCCTGTTAGCAACAGAGTCGTGTGGGACATCAATCTAACTCTGTTCGAGGGGGGATTTTAGAATTGATGTAACGTTACTTCCGTTTAGAAAGGAAGTTCGTATATAGTTAATCTGGGCCTACTGTCATAAGCTTTCCATACCTAGTCTCGATTTTCATCTACGTAATTGCTTTCTGGAGATTTAGAAAGAACGGACAGTAGACACACAGAGGACGACGGTCGAACTATATACAGGGTTCCTACGCACCTGGAAAGTCAGGGAAAATCAGGGAAAGTCAGGGATTTTCATTATTTTTTGAAAAAGTCAGGGAAAGTCAGGGAATTTGTCAAAAAGTCAGGGAATTTGTCGAAAATTGTCAAAAAGTCAGGGAATTTGTCTCCTTAACTGCGTTGTTGATTTCGTTTGCTGAATATAGATGACNTATTGAGGATGTAGATTTTGAAAAGTTTCTTGTATTATTAAATCAGCATTCTCAATTGATTTATTAGTTTAATCAAATATACTTGGCTCATTATTGGTCCTGTCAAGAATAAATTTATTTTAGTCAAGAATTTACCAAACTTGTTAGGAATATGTCAAATTTATTCTTGACCTCTGAATTGTTAAAAGATTCTTGATTAAAACCACAGTATAATTTATATATTTTTATTAAGCTGGTTTTGTACCCTTACTAAAGAAATATTTTTGTATGTATTCTGTCAATGTTTTAATTTTCAGAATCTTCCATGTCAGCAAAGCATTGAGATTGGTAGAACTATTGTATTTCTTTTTGTATTTTAATGTGTGCAGCTTATGATTATTTTTTTTAGATGTGAAATTAGAAGATTTGGCTTTGGAATTAAAACATGCTCTTGAAGTAATAAGTCATTATCCAGTTTGTCCACTTTACTCTAACATGTGTATATTGATGGCATTGCTGGAAACAAACGAGAGGTCAGTGTATTATCAAAATGTAATGCAGTATTAATTTATATATGTTGTTATTGATAATATATTGATCAAAAAATTTTTATAAAAATTTTAAATATTCAATTAAACTGTTTTGAATAATAATATTGTGCAAAGAATATAACTGCTGTAAATACAATAACATTTAAAGATAACAAATGAGTTGAATGATATAATTGATAATTGTTTTTTGACTTTTTTAGAATAGTATGTGATTATAGCTTTCTTCACACACTTTAAAAGATCTTCTGATAAATGTAATCATTAGAAATTATTGTAAAATCATTTTAATTTAATAAACTAGACCAGTGATTCCCAAACTTTTGAGCCACCATCCCTTTGGTTCCATAAAGTGATACCCAGTGGCTCCTAACCCATTTTTCCTTGTGTGAGAAAGGCTTGGAAATATTTTTAGGAAAACTTTTCTATGAACATCACACTATATTCTTACCATACATTGTTCTGCGCTTCTGGAAACCATTAAATGTAATTTTTTTTTCTTATTCGTTTTAATAGAGGAAAGGGGAAGGTAGTCATCGACCCAACCTTTGCCTAAGGTCACTGTTCAGTACTGTGCCTCCAGCACCTCCCTGCCACCCACTTGCTTCTCATCCCCTAGATCAGGGATAGTCAACCTTTTTATATGTAAGGGTCGCATTTCAAAACTTTTGAACTGATGCGGCCGCATACAAGAGGGGGTAAATGTCGTTAAATCACAATTATTAATTCATATATAATTATAAATTAGCATAGGTATACTTAATTTAGCTTCTAATATATCTATGACTTTGGAAAATATGTTTGAGATTCTGCTGGGATTTCAGCTTATATTAGAGACAAAAATGAGTATATGATTTATTGACATGTAAAACTGATGCTGGAATTTAGGGATAGTCAGATGGATATTTTAACATGGTTCTTGGTATATTCTTTACAATTTGTCATACATTTGTGTAATCCCATTATTTTTAGTAAAAATTTATTTAACAGATTCTTCTATTATAGGACTATTATTTTTGACAAACTAACTTGAAAGTATTTAATTAAGTACTTGATATTTCAATATTGTGCATACAATTTATCCAGCTATTCATGACATTATTTTATTATTGAGGATGTAGATTTTGAAAAGTTTCTTGTATTATTAAATCAGCATTCTCAATTGATTTATTAGTTTAATCAAATATACTTGGCTCATTATTGGTCCTGTCAAGAATAAATTTATTTTAGTCAAGAATTTACCAAACTTGTTAGGAATATGTCAAATTTATTCTTGACCTCTGAATTGTTAAAAGATTCTTGATTAAAACCACAGTATAATTTATATATTTTTATTAAGCTGGTTTTGTACCCTTACTAAAGAAATATTTTTGTATGTATTCTGTCAATGTTTTAATTTTCAGAATCTTCCATGTCAGCAAAGCATTGAGATTGGTAGAACTATTGTATTTCTTTTTGTATTTTAATGTGTGCAGCTTATGATTATTTTTTTTAGATGTGAAATTAGAAGATTTGGCTTTGGAATTAAAACATGCTCTTGAAGTAATAAGTCATTATCCAGTTTGTCCACTTTACTCTAACATGTGTATATTGATGGCATTGCTTACTAAATATCTGGTAAGTTTTTAAATAGTTAATTAAGGTTTTATATGACATTATTTAACATAAATATATACATTTTTTAACAAGATTTAAAAAATAATATAAATCAAATTTACTAATTAACTTTTTAAATAGAAAAAATATAAAAAGAAATTTTTATATATTATAATTTTATTATTGAAATTTTTTCAATATGAAATGTAATGTAAATGTTTTTTTGTTGTTGTTATTTAAAAACTTTTGTCAAGTTATTTTGCTTTGCTTATAAATTTCAAGTAATCATTAACTGTATCTTATAAAAATTTTAAATTAAATCTGTCTATTGTTAATCATATATTTAAAATTAATCGAAAATAGAAAAACACTTGTCAGGATGACAAAAAGTTTGATGTTGCTTATTACATCTCCGAGAGTGTTGCATTAACTTTAAAGCATCAAGCATTAATCACTTTGACCAAAAAAATCAAGTATGTATTTACATTTTATTTTAAAAATAATGCATATGAGTCATTTTAAAATTTACTAGATTATTTCAATTGTTTTTAAAAATGTTCATTTTATTAGTAAGAATGAAACTCTTGGAAATGGGAATACTTCGAACAGCTATAAAGTTGAAGATGATGAATATCAGTTGGCTAATGTAAAGAGAGACTTGTTAAATTTTAGAAACAAATTTGAACTTAAAGAAAAAGAAAAAATACAAAACATAATTGGTTCTATCCCAAAAGATTGGACTGTTGTGCAAGTAAACACAGTTCCATGTGAATTAAATATAAATTCGGATAAAGTCAGTCCTCCAGTTCTATTAGTGACTCGCTTTCAATCAGATTCTGTTCCCATCACAGTAACAATAGAACATAAAGAACATATTGTGTTTGAAAATAATTTTTTACCAGAATTTAATAAAATATTAAAAGAAAGTGCCGCTACCATGCAGAAAAAGGATGCTAAAGTTTGGTGGATGGTTCGACGTGATTTAGATTACCAGATGAAGGTTTTAACTGAAAGTATGGAAAATTTTTGGTTGGATTATTGGAAAGGAATATTTCTAGGAGTACCCACAGATAGTCGTTATAAGGAAAATTTAAAAATATCATTATCTTCAATTCTAGCAGAAGCCAACAAATTAAATCTTGTTTGCACAGATTATCTCCTATTGGAGGTTTGTTAAAGTGTATATGCAGTATATATAAATTTAAGTTTAAAATGTTAATATGTTGAATTATTTTAGGTTTTATTGGATTCTGCATCCTCTCTTGATGACATTCAGTTACTAAATGCTCTTTGTCTTCTATTTAAATGTAATACAAACCACAAAAGTTGCAAGCAGTTGGTAAAGCACATCAAGAAATGTATTGTGGAGTTAAATTTTGGTAGAGTCCAGCGAGCACCAGTGATTTTAATCTTAGATAAAGTAAGAATAATTAAATCTCTTAAATTATACATTATGACATTTGTAACTTAATTATTTTTTTTAGAGAGTACAAATCTTGCCCTGGGAGAATATTCCCTTATTGCGTCAGCATCCTGTTTGTCGTGTGCCTTCTCTAAGTTTACTCCACATACAATTGACTTCTTACAGTCTTTATCCTGACTGCATCTTTAGAAAAGGTGTAGACACTCACAATACGTTTTACATCCTCAATCCCAGTAATGACATTCCTGATACTCAAAAGAAATTTCAAGATGTGTTTAAACAACAGAAAGGTTGGCATGGCATCGTCGGCAGAGCACCTACTCAACAAGAATTCTCGTTTGCCATTACTGATCATGAATTATTTATGTAATTCACACTTAATTTTAGTTTCTTGACTTAGAACAAAATAAGTAACAAATTATTTGTAATTCTTTAGATATTGTGGGCATGGAACTGGAAAAGTTTATTTGGCGGGGGAAAGCATTGAGAGGTTGAAGTGTCAAGCTGTCACTATTCTAATGGGTTGCAGTAGTGGAAAATTAAAAGTCTATAGTCCTCATCTAGAACCAACTGGAGTGACATTACAATATTGGNAGCACTGAAGAGGGACTGGAAAATATTAGACCAGCCCGAAATGCATTTGATGTAGTCTTTACAAAATAAATTTAATTTGCCAATAAGATTGCTGTGAGATTTGTCTACCAAGAATATTTGGATTACAGAGACTAAAATCGTCATATCACATTAAAATAATTTAAAATGTATATTTTGAATATTTGTTATAATTATTACTATTATTATCAATTAATAATTTATCCAGTATGTTTGCCTGCTATCTTTAAGTAGTGTATAATTAAAATAGGAATTGCAATCTAAATTATTTGCTATGAGAAAATAATGTTTAAAATGACTAAACTTTAATGTGTTATGCCACTGGTTAAATAATATAAAAATAACTATTGATAATTGCTTATTATCAGCCATACATTAAGGCCAAAAGCACAAAAAGTTGGTTTAAAATGTGTATTTATCTAAAGATAATTATAACTAGAGCCAAAACTGATTATAATAAGCAAAATTTTATAAGTGTATTTTCAATTTTATGTTTTGGGACATGCTAATTCTTATAACTTTAAATGTGATAACAAACAATATCTGTAATTATAATAAGTCAATTCTATTGTATTTTTATTTTATAATTTGTATTAATAAATTTTAAAATATATTTTATATGTTTTAAATTTAATTTTTAATAATACACATTATAAATTATCATATTGGCCTAAATATAAGTTGACTCCTGATTTTGGAATTCTTACTTGAAAATAATTAGGATTGAATATAGTTCAAGAGTGACATTTTGCTGCTGTAAAACTGAGAAAAAACATTGATTAATATTTGGACCAATTTGCTAACTTATTTAATACTTTAAATATCTGATTTAAAAAAAAAAAAGAAATGTTAAAATAAGAGAAGTGAAATTGTTTCTGAATAATTTTATAACACTTAATAAACATAATAATGTGATGAATTTTATTCAAAATGTAATAAAATTTGTATCTACTAAACCATTCAAAAAAGTGAGAGTTTGTATAACACACACAAAATTTAAATGGTCTATTTATTTTATCAGAATTTTTCACTAAAACTTGTAATAATTTGTTTTGACTGATAAACAATGATTGTATAATCATCATTATTATCATTTGCTTTGTGATCACTGAATCATTTTTAAATTTTTCATGTAATTAAATACTATAATTTTTATTTGCATTTTCTTTTTTACCTAGAATGAATAAAGTTATTCAGAAAATTACATTAATTTTACATTATGTAGACTTTTCTGAACATTCATCCACAAAACTTGATCAAATATACTTAGGATTTGTTAAAACTTTATTACTTAATATAACCAACATTCTAATTCTCTGAATTAAAATTAATGAATTGAATATATATATATAGTATTCTGATTGAATATATGTGACTTTTAATCAGAATACTAAATTTTGTTTTCAACAATTTTTATCAACAAATTGATGCAAATCTATAGTATTTGTTCTATAACTTACTAGAAAATTATCAATTTTAGTTTATAAATTTACAGTTATTATTTGTTGNAACATATAGATGTGAAATTAGAAGATTTGGCTTTGGAATTAAAACATGCTCTTGAGGTAATAGGTCATTATCCAGTTTGTCCACTTTACTCTAACATGTGTATATTGATGGCATTGCTTACTAAATATCTGAAAAACATTTGTCAGGATGACAAAAAGTTTGATGTTGCTTATTACATCTCCGAGAGTGTTGCATTAACTTTAAAGCATCAAGCATTAATCACTTTGACCAAAAAAATCAAGTATGTATTTACATTTTATTTTAAAAATAATGCATATGAGTCATTTTAAAATTTACTAGATTATTTCAATTGTTTTTAAAAATGTTCATTTTATTAGTAAGAATGAAACTCTTGGAAATGGGAATACTTCGAACAGCTATAAAGTTGAAGATGATGAATATCAGTTGGCTAATGTAAAGAGAGACTTGTTAAATTTTAGAAACAAATTTGAACTTAAAGAAAAAGAAAAAATACAAAACATAATTGGTTCTATCCCAAAAGATTGGACTGTTGTGCAAGTAAACACAGTTCCATGTGAATTAAATATAAATTCGGATAAAGTCAGTCCTCCAGTTCTATTAGTGACTCGCTTTCAATCAGATTCTGTTCCCATCACAGTAACAATAGAACATAAAGAAGATATTGTGGTAATTTAGCATAGATTTTTCATACACAGATTTTAAATGTACAATAAAAATAATTGTCTATTTTTCATTTTTACAGTTTGAAAATAATTTTTTACCAGAATTTAATAAAATATTAAAAGAAAGTGCCGCTACCATGCAGAAAAAGGATGCTAAAGTTTGGTGGATGGTTCGTCGTGATTTAGATTACCAGATGAAGGTTTAAATTTTCTTTATTTTAAATTATTATTTTAAAATGTTTTAATGCTTTTCTTTATTTTATGGAAAGGAATATATTTATTAGACACCTAGGGTAATTGGTACAGTTATTGGCCACTTTTAATTTATGAAAATAATGAGAAAATTAGTTATGATTTATATACAGTAGAATCTATTAATTGTAATTATTCTTGAACTTGTTTATACTGATAAAAACTGACTATGTTATACTTAACATAATCAGTTTTAAAGTAAGTAAATAAGTAAATGAAATAAATAAAATGAAATAAAATAAAATGAAGTAAATAAATAAGACTACAATTAATGGAAATTCTTATTGTTTATTCTGACAAAAAAAAAGCACATTAAAATAATTTAAAATGTATATTTTGAATATTTGTTATAATTATTACTATTATTATCAATTAATAATTTATCCAGTATGTTTGCCTGCTATCTTTAAGTAGTGTATAATTAAAATAGGAATTGCAATCTAAATTATTTGCTATGAGAAAATAATGTTTAAAATGACTAAACTTTAATGTGTTATGCCACTGGTTAAATAATATAAAAATAACTATTGATAATTGCTTATTATCAGCCATACATTAAGGCCAAAAGCACAAAAAGTTGGTTTAAAATGTGTATTTATCTAAAGATAATTATAACTAGAGCCAAAACTGATTATAATAAGCAAAATTTTATAAGTGTATTTTCAATTTTATGTTTTGGGACATGCTAATTCTTATAACTTTAAATGTGATAACAAACAATATCTGTAATTATAATAAGTCAATTCTATTGTATTTTTATTTTATAATTTGTATTAATAAATTTTAAAATATATTTTATATGTTTTAAATTTAATTTTTAATAATACACATTATAAATTATCATATTGGCCTAAATATAAGTTGACTCCTGATTTTGGAATTCTTACTTGAAAATAATTAGGATTGAATATAGTTCAAGAGTGACATTTTGCTGCTGTAAAACTGAGAAAAAACATTGATTAATATTTGGACCAATTTGTTAACTTATTTAATACTTTAAATATCTGATTTAAAAAAAAAAAGAAATGTTAAAATAAGAGAAGTGAAATTGTTTCTGAATAATTTTATAACACTTAATAAACATAATAATGTGATGAATTTTATTCAAAATGTAATAAAATTTGTATCTACTAAACCATTCAAAAAAGTGAGAGTTTGTATAACACACACAAAATTTAAATGGTCTATTTATTTTATCAGAATTTTTCACTAAAACTTGTAATAATTTGTTTTGACTGATAAACAATGATTGTATAATCATCATTATTATCATTTGCTTTGTGATCACTGAATCATTTTTAAATTTTTCATGTAATTAAATACTATAATTTTTATTTGCATTTTCTTTTTTACCTAGAATGAATAAAGTTATTCAGAAAATTACATTAATTTTACATTATGTAGACTTTTCTGAACATTCATCCACAAAACTTGATCAAATATACTTAGGATTTGTTAAAACTTTATTACTTAATATAACCAACATTCTAATTCTCTGAATTAAAATTAATGAATTGAATATATATATATAGTATTCTGATTGAATATATGTGACTTTTAATCAGAATACTAAATTTTGTTTTCAACAATTTTTATCAACAAATTGATGCAAATCTATAGTATTTGTTCTATAACTTACTAGAAAATTATCAATTTTAGTTTATAAATTTACAGTTATTATTTGTTGTGGATGGGTATTATTCCTTATTCCAGTGTTTCTCAAAGTTTTTGGTTCGCGACCCCCCCTTTTGCACTTAAAAATTTCAAAGGACCCTGAAGAATGGGTATGTGTAGAAAAACACCCTGAAGGGGGATTAATTTAAATTCAGAATGAGTTAATTTGTTTTGTTTAATTGCATTGAAACACTCACAATTTTAATAGCAGATTTATTTTTAGTATCATTAAAAATTAATAACTTATCTTTGGTACATCTTTGAACAAACTATTCTATGTATATGTTTCGATATTAGTAAACTCAATTAGTTAAGTTAAACATATTTTAAATTAAATTTAATGTGATGGGTGAGCTTGCTTATTTTGGCAAAATAAATTAAACTGGGTTTAATATCAGTCAGTGCAGGTCTCGTACTGATTTCTATGTTGCAAAGACGAGAGTGCTGCTTTGTTTTGATGTTGGTCATTACTGAAAATGCCATTTCGCATAAATAAGTGGTTGCAAATGGTAAGAGAACTGCCATTGCCAATTTAGAGAGTAGTGGATACTCTGCTTTCACACTAAGCCAAAAAGAATCTACTATTTTTAAACATGAATCCATAGTAAATTTATAAAATATTTGGAAAAAATTGATCTGTCATCAATTTTTCTGTGATCCCCTCAAATATTTTTCACGACCCCCACTTTGAGAATCACTGCCTTATTCTGTTGATATTGATACTTAATTCTATGTTGTAACAAAATCAGGGTGTTAACTACAGAAACAGTTTTTGTGTGCTGTTGATGTAGCTGTACAGTGGATGATCAGTTAATGAACATAATTCGTTGCAAGACTTTGTTCACTATCTGAATTTCAAGTTTAAGGTTCTATTTTGAGCTCTTTAATATTCTTTATTTCTCAGATGTGATTTTTGTTACTCTTAAAGCTGCTTGAGTCTTCTTGATAATACAGTATCTTTCTTAGATAAGATTGAACTGTGGCCTGCTATAGACCTGTTCAAGCCATTCATATTACCCAGCAATATCAGACATCATCTTCCCACTCTCTATCTTTGCTATTATACTCTCATCTTTTAAAAATAAAAACTGATGCAAAACTTAATGAGTGCCTGCCCGACAGTCTCGCAAATACTAGAAAAGAATTGTTTCTGTGAGAAAAATAAAAGGCTGGAATTATAAGGGAAAGTTTCAAAGTTCAGATGAATACTATCTGATTAATATATGCTGGGTTGAGCATTGATGTCAACGTCTCCCGCACTCCAAAAAGTTTCAAATTGTTGCCTGAAGACAAGGGAAGACAATTGGTATTCATTATTTTACGTAGCTTCTTCTTGTGTTTGAAGCTTAACTTTGATCGATGACGATAACAATTATAACAAATTTCACTTAATTGTGAGGTGTTTGTTATCCAAACATGTGTTCATTGTCCAAACATAAAAATCTTTTGCGAAAGTGTTTGTTAACCAATCACCCGCTGTATTTAAGAATTTCCTGATGTCACATAATCAGGAAATTCTTAATTACAGCTACATCAACAGCACACAAATAAAAATTCTTTCTGTACTAAACACTTGTCATTTAGTTTCATTGCTTTCTCTGATATGATGCACATTCTGTTATTAAGAACTGATGTCTCTAGACTTTTGTGTAGTATATATGACATGATACCTGTAGAAGAGACTAATAGTTACTAATTTTTTCTTCTTCTTCTTCTTTGGTGTATGTATTTTGTATGTTGTGGGTGTTTAAAATGGATATATCTATGATGTGTGTTTTCTTTGTCAATGAATATAATATCTGGTTTTTGCAATAGATTGTTTTGTCTGTGATTGTGGCTCAATCATAGTATGTTGTTATCTAAGACTGTCTACAATGTGTGTGTAATATAGTAGCTGGGTATGTAATAATTTGTGTGCAAATTTTTTATATTTTACATTTATTTGGTTATGTCAATGTAAGTAGACCATTTGTATTAAAAGCTTGCAACTCAATGTGATATGTTTTATAGTTTTGGGAATGATACAGCATTCTTACATGTATTATCTATAAGTGTTGTTTCTTCTACAATATACATTTTATAATTTTTTTGTATTTGTGACCTTATCTTGTATGACAATCATAATTTCTTTTGTCTCTCTAAAGAGACATATTTGAGCTAGTCAGCAGTTTGACACAGTTCTGTTGATATGATCCTTGGCTAAGATTGTTAGGATGCTTATCATAGAGTTTTTTCCATACCCAGTTTGTTTTGAGGATATGTCTTTTATATATTGTATTATATCAGTTTCATTCAGATTAGTTTTGTTTACAATTTAATGGTATATTATTTTTGTTAGAGTTACAGATTTGTGTAATTATAATGATTCTTGTTTTCTGTGGAAATAATCTTATAATGTATATATTTATTTGTTATGAGTATTATGAGAGTTATGAGAAATATCTGAGGCCTCATTCTCCCTGCTTATGAGATAGTCAACTTTTTCCAGTTAATTTAGGATTGTATTTGTTTATATGTTTTAATTTTGTTTTCTTCTGGGGTAGCTGTAGTTTTGTTCACATCCAATCTATAACTGCAAATGAATATGTAAGTATTAGTAAAATATATGTTTCTTGTTTTAAATGCACATTTTACATTAAGCTGAATTTTATCATTGAATTTAATCTGTTGTTGTATTTCCTGTTATAGCCTGTTTTATTTTGTGTGTTTTGGGAGCTTGGTCTGTTGTAATCTTAAACATTTTTATATCTTACTCTCATCTATGGATTTAATGATAATTCCATTTTCAAGTGGTCATTCTTTTTTGCAAGTTTTTTTATGGGTGAAATGTTTTGTATTTGTCTAGGCCAAAATAGATTTATATATCAGTTATTGTTGTTGTTGTTGTTATTCATTAATTTCGTTTCTCATTACAAAGGCAGTGTATATTGTAAATGCCTTGAGCATGCAGGTATCAAGCTGCAGGGTCGCAACAAATTACTTAGTGTTCATTGAAAAATCATCTAAAGACACTACAGGTATTTATTCTAGAATGACAGCTTTCTTAATCTTATAAGATAAATATTTATCAATAGTACGGTATTTAAGGTTTTTAGATGAGTTTTGATCCATGAGTTTACACCCATGGAGGATAGGATTATAGGGTGGATAAATACTTTCTCCATTTTCCAAAGGTTTTTGGCTTTAATTGATAGTTCCTTCTATTTATCAATTCTGGCTGTACAACTTCTTTGTAAATTTTTGGTACATGGAACTATGTTGTAACAATTAGAAAATATTCAGAAGAAACAATCATTTAATATATATATTTATTAAACTTTTAATTTTGTATCATATTGTGTGACATACTCTAAATAGCTTTTCACAATTTACAATTTTATCAAGTTTGTTAGATCTTATTATTAATTTTTCATTTTTCAAGCATAATTTGAGATTTTGTACTATAATAAATTGTGATTTGTAACTATTATGAAAATACTGTAAATAATTTTAATAAGACAATTTAAAATTATATTTTCTAGGTTTTAACTGAAAGTATGGAAAATTTTTGGTTGGATTATTGGAAAGGAATATTTCTAGGAGTACCCACAGATAGTCGTTATAAGGAAAATTTAAAAATATCATTATCTTCAATTCTAGCAGAAGCCAACAAATTAAATCTTGTTTGCACAGATTATCTCCTATTGGAGGTTTGTTAAAGTGTATATGCAGTATATATAAATTTAAGTTTAAAATGTTAATATGTTGAATTATTTTAGGTTTTATTGGATTCTGCATCCTCTCTTGATGACATTCAGTTACTAAATGCTCTTTGTCTTCTATTTAAATGTAATACAAACCACAAAAGTTGCAAGCAGTTGGTAAAGCACATCAAGAAATGTATTGTGGAGTTAAATTTTGGTAGAGTCCAGCGAGCACCAGTGATTTTAATCTTAGATAAAGTAAGAATAATTAAATCTCTTAAATTATACATTATGACATTTGTAACTTAATTATTTTTTTTAGAGAGTACAAATCTTGCCCTGGGAGAATATTCCCTTATTGCGTCAGCATCCTGTTTGTCGTGTGCCTTCTCTAAGTTTACTCCACATACAATTGACTTCTTACAGTCTTTATCCTGACTGCATCTTTAGAAAAGGTGTAGACACTCACAATACGTTTTACATCCTCAATCCCAGTAATGACATTCCTGATACTCAAAAGAAATTTCAAGATGTGTTTAAACAACAGAAAGGTTGGCATGGCATCGTCGGCAGAGCACCTACTCAACAAGAATTCTCGTTTGCCATTACTGATCATGAATTATTTATGTAATTCACACTTAATTTTAGTTTCTTGACTTAGAACAAAATAAGTAACAAATTATTTGTAATTCTTTAGATATTGTGGGCATGGAACTGGAAAAGTTTATTTGGCGGGGGAAAGCATTGAGAGGTTGAAGTGTCAAGCTGTCACTATTCTAATGGGTTGCAGTAGTGGAAAATTAAAAGTCTATAGTCCTCATCTAGAACCAACTGGAGTGACATTACAATATTGGTTAGGAGGAAGGTAAGTTGTTTGGTTTCACATATAACATAATTCTTGACTAACAAAACACTTTTTGTAGTCCTTGTGTGGTTGCTAATTTATGGGACATCACTGACAAAGACATAGACAGATTCACCGAAGCTCTATTACGTTTTTGGTTGCCAACCTTCTGCAAAAAAGAAACAGGCAATGGAGGAACTTCTATAGCATGTGCTGTATCGTCTGCTCGCAATTTTTGTAAACTGCCTCATCTGATTGGTTCTGCTCCTGTTATATATGGCTTGCCTGTTTTTGCCATTCAAGAATCATCATTATCTGGTAATCAGCAGGAAATGGTGCATTTCAACTGACCTTAGTCATTGTCATGTGATACACAGGTTGCCTTTGTACATAAAGGGAAATTATCAGAGACCTGTTCTTCCTTTGTTCATTTTCTCTGACAATGTTATTAAATGTATTAAAGCATTTTAAAGATGATATTAAAAATAACAAAGTTTATTTAAATGTATTTTAAGTCTCTTCATATTTAATGCTTTAAATAAATTTTTGTGTGTTTTAATAATTATGAGAAAAGTTATTTTATTCTAAGAAAGTTTAGCTGCTCTATTATAAGATTTTCATCTTACCTGATCAATGTGACAAAATTTTGTATTTAACTTACATATACAAACATTAGTTTACACAACAAATTAATAGGATAGGTATGTATTAATATACAGTACATAATGTGTTTATGATAGGAATAAGATTAAAATATCGAATTGCAAAATTAAAACTTTGATTGATTTTGTAAGTTGAGAATGCCACTGAATTTTTCACAACAAAAAAACCTATCAGCTATGAAATTAAGAAATGACGAGAAAACATATTTTGAATATATGCATGCACTTTATAAACCATTTATAATTTCATATGTAAAGTCATAATGTACTAAGTTATTTAACTGAAATAACTTAGTACATTATGACTTTGCAATAGTGTTTCATTTTGTTTTGATGAAATTAAGGACAGACTAGAAAACTCAGAAAAGTTTCCACAGTTAGTCCAGACTTATATGAACATTAAGTCTATTAGTTTTTCTTGCTTATTTACTAAATATATTAAATATAAAAAAATAAATATAAATATAAAAAACTGCTTATATTGCTGTTCAATGGATTCCTTCAATTATATCTAGGGTTTTAATTTGTAGAAGTAAGACATGCCATTTGAAGTCTTGAAATTGCAATATCTGCCTAAAACATAGCTATTTTATTTCTCTAATCTGACTGGCAGATTTTCTCTACCCGTAGATTAAAAAATCTAGCAATATGTGGCTTACTTTTCCTAGCTTTTATGAGATTTTATTTTAAAAATAACTTTTGTATTTTTAATCAAAAATAAATTTTATACATTTTTAATTTTTATACAATAACAAAAGACTTAATTTTAATGGTGGAGATGAATTTTATAAAAAAAAATTAAATGCTAACAAAATCATTAAGTCCGATTGTATGCGAGATATGACATGTAATCACCCGCTATCTCTCCATCCTCTTGATCTTTCACAATCAAAATTTAATTGCATCAATGCCCCTTATATACAAGCTATCATGCCAAAATTCGTTTCTTAATCTTCACCCATCCTAATATTAAACAAAATAGATGCCAACACGCACATATCCATGGAATTTTTTTGACTGGTTAGGGGTCTTTTTACCCTTTCCACCCTATGGACATTAAGAGAGCCTCTTTTAGCAAGTCCATTATGGGTTCGGCCAGGCCCACAATAGTGCGGCCTGGTGGTGAGGGACAGGGCCCAACATATCCGGATAGACAACCCCCCCAAAAAATTCCTGGGGAATTTTCGACCTATTCAGATTCGATCCTGGGTCCCCTAGAGCGGCAAGCTGCCACTTTTACCGCTCGGCCATCCAGCCTGGTTCAGGGGATGTCAAAACATGGAATTTGCAAAAAACTCAGAGGGTCAAATTTGACATGATTCCAATACTTTCCTTTTGTTATGTGTACAGAACAGCCAGGAAAGTAAAGAGCATCTGAAGGTGGCCAATCAGTGGCCAAGTGGTTTTGTTCCATAAACACTGGGAGTTAGATTGTGGGTTCGTGCCTCGCCAGGATGGGCTGGCCATGTGGAGTTTTCTAGCTTTTCTCCACCTCTGTAACGCCTGAACCAGTTACCCTTAAAAAGACCTCCCGGAAGGCATTCCCTACAGATCGCCCAAGTGTTGCATTGCCATAACTTAATAAACAGCATCTGAAGGAATAATTCGCATCGTTTCGGAAAGTTTGTGCTACAATCTATTCATAATGTGTAAAAAAGTTGAGAAAAAAATTTTCAGATTTATTGTTGGGGTTGTTAACCTTTAACGTGTCCATCATCATTATGTAGTTATGTAAAGAACAATACGATTTTGTGCTTATATGTCACAATGTTGGGCTGCAATTTTATATTTTTTATTTATTTAATTTAAAATATATGCTCTTCACTTCAAATTAGTAGTGTCTTCCCTTGTACATTATACTTTTCCTGTTAGCAACAAAGTCATGCCATCATCTACTTAACTCCCTTCAGGAGAAAATTGTTGAATTGAAATAATGTGACTTCCAATTTGCGTCGGAAGTTTATATACAGTTAATCGGGGCCTCCTACACCTAAGGTTTCCATATCTAGTCTCGTATTTCATCTAACTAACTCCGTTCTCGAGATTGAGGAAAGACGGACTGACGACAGCGGAAATTTATAGGTCTACAATTTTTTCAAATGCAGCCCAATAACAATTTTGTAAAGAAAACAGTCATTTTGAAATTTCAAAAATAATAATAATAATAATGGATAAGAAGAATCAACTTTTGAGATAACCAGAAAAACTGGACACATCAGGCTTATAAATGTTTTTTACAGATCAATTCTATCACGTGTAGTTCTAAAACTAATATTTAAAAGAACAAATGTTTGCACAATATTTAATTTGCACAAAAATAAATACTAATAATACTTTAATTGTTAAAAATATTTTAATTTCGGCCCTAAATATTTCTTACGACTGTAGATTGTGTGGAAATTTCCCAGGATTCAAAATTTTAATTGTCAGATTATCCAGTATAGATTGCAGTAGCATACGGTGACATTTGATGATAGGGATACTGTGCCTGCCCACGATAGAATTATTGTAAGCGTGATACGATATTTTGGTGTGTAGCGTCCATCAGCTAAACCTCGTGAAGTTGGTGCTCTGTAAAGCGCTTGCACGAATGCCTGTAATCTGGCTGCTTTACACCATTCAAATATTTTTGTCCCGTATTCGACAATACAGCGCTTCCATTGGGAATGTGCATATGCGAATTTATATTCGAATATACAATAGCAATCTTATCATTTTTTTCACATGTATGGAAATTTATGGTAAGATACATAATGCGGGAATAATAAATTATTAATTTTAAATAATTCAAAGTACAGTAGGTTAAAATATGAAAATAGTCGCGTAATATGTATTTATATTTCAGAAAATTCAAGGGATGCGGCGCTTCCACAGCTTCATGGACGGCACGTTACTGATGGATTGATCTGAGCATAAATTATAATTTGAAATTCCAAAGTTCTTTAGGCCGTGAACATACTATTAAAAATAGTATGTTCTTTTATTGACAGAGGATTGATTGGCTTAACTTGAAACGCATAGGATTAAGAGTTACGTTGTTTTGTTATCAGGGTAAACATTTATGGACATCCTGTATTTTAAAGCTAGTTTTAATATTTTGAAACGTCAAGAATAACAACGAAAACAACTTTAAAACATTTACAGAACAAGTGGGACACAGAATAATGAAATTATTCAGACTGATTTACTAAAAACTACTGTGTTCAAATTCTGACTAATGAAAATCTGTCATTGTATGAACACAATAAGTGTTGAAGTAGAAAAATCCGACGTGCACATTGTAATTGAAGTGCAAAAATACAAGCTGCGTATTCCATCAACATGTGGATCAGCTTACATCGAAATATTGGAGTCATCCATAACTATTGCGCCAAGAGAGTTTTCCCTGCTTTTTGGATTTAAGTTTGGGTTTGATTTAAAATACCGCCTTGCGAAGTGCTATATATTTTAATTTTCTTTCAAGTTTTTGTTACATAAAAGAATTATCTGTAAATTGCAATTTGTAATTGAAAATGAGATGTACTCAAGATTAAATTTTTAATCGTAAAATTAACCATGGTTAAATTTTTTTGTTGTCCGACATCCTGAAGTTTTTTGTGTAATATTCAGAAATATTATTAAAAATAAGGAGTGACTATTTTTTTTTTTATATTAGTTTTCCCATAAGGCAAACACAATATTTGGCTAATGCTTTTCATCTTTCATAAGGTCATACGATGGTTCAATACTTTCTTGTTTTTTCCTGTTTACGAATAAATTTTTTCTAGATATTTTCAGATTACTCTATCGTTATTATTTGCCGATTGCATTTAGATATTTATTAGAACATTTCAGTACTTTCTGCTATTTTCAGAAGTTTTAGATGCAATTATTAAAAAGAAATAATTGCTAGATTTTGATAAAATTCTAATACAATACTGTATATAAAAACAACAAACATAATCATAAATGCCACGAAGCATGAATTGAATATAGAGCTGATAAAATTAATTTTTCTTGTAGTGTTCTAAAAAAGTGTTTTAAACATTAAAAAAATCATGGTTATGGGCACATCAAATAGCGTACGTTTAAAACGCAATGATGCACATATTAAAAAATTATTTAATTGTTTTTAATACTGTTACCTTATACGATTATCGACCGATTGATGCGTCACGTTTATTTTAAAACGTGTCATTTAGCAACGTTTGATAGTCGCAATAAATTTGTTGTGACGATGAATTAGTTGCTATACGACTTAAAACTAATTGCGTGACTGTAATTGCTTTTGTTTACGAAGAAGTTGCCATAGAATTTGACGGAATGCGTGTGTAACGCGTCGTTTTTGAATGATTTTTTAATGAGATTTCAGTTTCAGACATCGTCTTACTTATCCAAAAATAAAAATCTCAATACATTTTTTACTGAAATTGATTTTTATTCACTAATCTTTATAGATACATTTAATTATTTTTACAGATTATACTGAAAGATGGCAACAATGCAGCTAAGTGTTTCTAAGGCCTGTAGGCGCCATCTTGAGGTTCTGTTACTATACATTCTTTATATATAACAAATCAGATTCTGGCAACTCTGTCTCTGATTACGTCACTGCGGGTATTCCAAACACGCAGCAAATACTGGTTTTTTGATGTTTCGTTTTCGATGTTACCAACGGAAACAAATAAGAATGTATATTCTCTCCAATTGGATCTGTAAAATCACGTGATTTCATAATCTCGTGGGCATTGTTTTCAATAACAGAAATACCTTTAACTCTTGCCGATATTGCTTTAGAAACATTACAGCGCTCAATTTACGGTAAGTATTTTTTCCAAATGAAATTTTCGCCAATTTAGAAATATAAGATATTCTTTTTCAGATTGTTGCAAGAGAAATTCATAGGAAGCAAGCAAAAATGTATCTGTCACCATCTGCCCCTACTCTCTCTCCCTCGCCTCTGACGTTGCCTACCACCCCCAACCGAGACCAATTGGTCGGTAAGTCAAACGTTTATTGTTGGCATTTATTGCAGTTATGATATAGTCATTTCGTTTGCTGGACGAAAATGAATTTCATTAGAATCATGCTTACAGATATTTCTCATCACACATCACAATGAAGGATTTCACAAACCCTAGTTTAATTTCCGATATTAAAAATATTCTATTCGGTTTTGATGGAAACATAACAGCAATACCATTTTACTTAAAACGCAGACAATCATATAAATTAATGTAGCTGAAAAACACTTCCACTTAGTTACTGGGATATATTAAAAACATAACGTGACCTTGATCTTGTTTGGAAAGGACCGTTTATTAATTACGTGTACAGTTTTCAAGTCATTTTTAACTCCCTCTCTTTCCTGTTCCAATGATGTACTTTTGACAAATCTCTTTTAATTACGTGCAAGTTAGTTCATGGACCTTCCTGACATTGAAGAAATGACTTTAAAAAGCTCTGCAAATATTTTCTACCTGATAGCTTTTCACATGACTAATTATTAGGCTTATAAGAACAAATTCGAATGCCTCTAACACCATTAAAAATGTACACGTAGACAATGCCTTAACCACTGCCTTTTCATCGTGTACAATGATGTACTTTTTGCAACCCCTTCCAATCTTAATTCTACACGTAATTAATACACGTTTTGAAAAGTGCATTTAAAAATCTAATGGAAAAATTTTATAGCCAACAGGAAATTTAATTAGCCAAGGAGATAGTAATCATTAGGTGATGTATTTCAACTGTTTTCATACCAAGAACAACCAAAAGGAATATAAAATGTTTAGTGGTTCATTTGTGCATTGTGGTGGTTTCTGTTTTCGGAAACCACAATGTACAAATGTCCTCCTGAATGAAACTTTCATCCACGATAGGATTTTTAGCAGGAAAAAATTCTCTGGGCTTGCTTAGCATGCGCCCGCATGCCTAAGAGACAGTTTTGACTGTCAATATACTTTTTATATGAGAACAAATATACCAATAATAATTTATTCTAACGTGTATACTCTTTTAACATTTGTGTTTGCTTTCTCATTGACAGCTAGCGGCTAGCCGTTTTAAGTTCGTGCCATGCTTGCGGGAACTCGATCGCTTGCTCGTGTGGAGGTTTGCCGCAGCAAACAAATGAGCGCGCATGATGCCATTCAAAGCATTTAACACGGCCAGATTGTATCGAAAGCTTGCGGTAACCAGTCAGCATACATGTATTGTGTACAGGAGCGGATCTAAATAGAGATTAATAGGGCTTAATCCCTGGACCTCCAGTGTCAAGGGCCCACAAAATTTGAATTATTATCATAAATTTTTAATATTTTNTTTAAGTAACCCAAATTTAGTATTGAATTAATTTAGAGAAAGAATAAGTGAAACATTTCTATCACATGTGTGTCATTTTTTAAGTAGGCTTGTTTTCCTAGTATCCATTCTCTCTCAATGCACTCAAAAGTATTTTTCAACAAAAATTAGAATTAATCAGTAAGTCTGGTGATAGAAAAAAGTTTTTCCAGGCATAATTAAATCTCTCCTAACCTATCTTTCAAAAATTCTTAAGAATAATTATGGATTCTAAAATCTGATAGTGAGATATGAAATTTATTTAACTTTATTATTTTCTATTGATGATTTTAATTTTTTTCTCTTGTCTATTATTTTAAGTTTTTTGAAGAATAATCTATAAATATAGTCCTTTAAATTTAAATTTAATTCTTCTCAGTACAGCACAGTTAAGTAGTATTAAATTAAAAAACATTAATTTAAAAAATTAATTAAAAATGCCAGGATGAATTAATACATTTTTGTGATATTTTTGTGAATTAAATTTGTAGTATTAAATTATTATAACTGCTTGATTAGCCACTCTCTCCAGCATGTAGAACAATATCTTATTACTGTACAAGGTAAGGTTTTCAATAGTTCTTTCAAGCTCATATCTTTTCTATTTTATTGAATCTATTTGTCAGTTCTTTCCTTTGGGAAGCCACACTCAATCAGTAGATACTTGATTAATTAGGGATGTGCATTTCAGGTTTACTATTTGGCCTCTTCAGACTCTTATAACAAAAAAAAGAAAAAGAAAAAACTAGTGAAAGTCTATGAAACTTGGCACTATTATGATACTAATAATAAAACAATACTATTGAAGTTCTGGCTACCAAAAAATATTTAATCAAATGTTTTTGACCTTCACTTAGTTCATTCTTAGCTGTCAGAGCAAATGGAATAGAATTTTTTAAATTTAAAAATTACAAATTTAAATTTGAAAAATAAAATAAAAAATATTTAAACACTGTTTTATAATTATTTTTATTTAATTTCACAAAAGTATTGATCTGTGAGGTATTGGAAGGGGGAAAAATTATTTATTGTGACGTTGTCACAATGCCAGGTTGCAACTTTTAATAATAATTTTTTTATTTATTTAATTTAAAATATATACTCTTCACCCCAAATTAATACTGTCTTGTCCTTTATGTAATACTTTCCCTGTTAGCAAGCCACTGTACTGTACATCATACTTTTCCTATTAGCAGCAGAGTCATGATGATCATCTCTCTAATTCCTGTTAGGGAAAATTTTTAAAATTGAAATAATGTGACTTTTGTATCAGAAGTTCGTATATAGTTAATAGGGGCCTCCTGCCCCTATGGTTTCCTGGTCTCTGCTTTCACCTATCTAACTCCATTCTTGAAATTAAGGAAGGACAGATGGATGACAGTGGGAATTTATAGGCATATAAATAATAATATGCAAAAAAATTTTGTTTATATAAATATTCAAATTTAAATAAAAGTACATAAAGTAAAAACCAAAATAAAGAAATTTCAAATGTCTTTAAAATAGAAAGGAGCAAAGAAGAAAATATAACTGTACTACAGTAATTGATCTTAAACATTAGGAAATAACTTAAAATTGACCAAATTTAGCTTTTTTTTTTTTAAGATTGATGATATAGAGGATATCACACTTAGATGCTAACCAAACCCATGTTCTGCCTAAACCTAGAAATGCATATGTGATTTTCTGTTGTAACAAATGAAAAACTATAATCATGGAAAAATAACAATAGGTGTACACTGTGATATATTTATCAAAATTTTGACAAGTTAATGACTCGGATTTCATAGAAACTATGTTTGTAGTAACTTTATTATTACAAATGAAATACTACTATACTATACTGAAAAGTTGACAGTGTGTGCACATTCATGCCTTTCCATATCACTCAGTTCAATTTGTAACAATTGCAATGTAAAAGTAGGTCTGGTTGTATATTTTTAATCACAATTATTTGGCATAAATTGTATGAATTCATATTAAAAACTGTTTCATTTTTGCAATTAAACAATTGCATTACAGAAAACTATGTGCATTTCTAGGTTAACATATATGCATCAAGTTTATTTATTACTGAGTTTGTCCACAGCTGTGAATATATAATTGTTCTAGGAACCTGAGTGGAAGATTAGATTTATTTTTCAAAATAGACTTGTCCCCTACTTTCTTCTGTCTGAAGCCCATTAAATTAATGATTAAGGTTTAAATCTTTATGCAATTAGTAAAAACTGAGAAATGCTCATTTATTCTCTTATTGACAGATCTGAATGAAGAGCCTATATAATAGTCTGTCTTTGAATAATTTCACCATAAAGGCAATATTGGAGTATATATCTGGTACTGATGGGACAATTAATCAGAATTGAGAAAATCTCATTATGATTTCTGATTCTTAAACACGATTTTCCACATTTTATAAGAAAATTAATTTAAGTCAAAGATTAAAAATTTTTTAAATTATGATATTAACAATTAAATATTAGTTTATTAGAAACTTCCATGTTCACAAAGCAGAGATGATGCAACACCCCTATAAAGTATGAGAATGTGATAAAATGATGTCATTCTGCTATACTTAATGAACACTAGATTCTGTATGGAAGAACTTAAATCAGGCTTAATACATCTGAGTAGACCTAAATTATAAATAAAGTGCAGTTAGTGTAACACACAATTTTTTATCTTAATATTTCCCACTTAAAAAAAAATTTGAAATGTTTCCCTTTATAATTATAACTTCAAAAAGTAATTGGTATACCAAGTAATTAAACTTTTACCTATTTGAACATTATCAAAATTTAGTCAAATTAATCTACAAAAGAGAATTATTTGTTAAATTTCAATTTTGTGATATGAAAACAAACATTTGAATTCATTGTTTCTAAAAAGACTATTTCTGACCTTCCTCAATTATTCTCCACCTCTTTAAGTTTGAGATCAGCCTTTTATCACTTAAACTGCAAAAACAAGTTATTTCAATTAATTATTATTTTTTAAATTTTCTATTACAACATTAATTTTGATCACTGTATTATTTATAAAAGTTTTAATGAATTATATACATCTGTAAATAGTTTATTATTGGAAAAAATAACAATAACTAAAGATTTTCTATATTTTTGAAATTGTATTGTAACAGATACATCTTTTGAAGTAGAAATATATATTAACTTTGTAAAACTAAATATTAAAGAAAATGTTTGATATTTCATGGAAATTGTGCAGTATGGCTATAGAATGTGTGTACAGTGTCACTGTACTGTACATCTGTTATTTTCTTTAATGGCATCACTCCATCTCATGAATATTTAAATTAATAAATCCGTGTTCATCTCTTTCTTTATTAAAACATTTTTCTATTGATGCGTATTGTTAACAAAAAACTTGTTTTCACAGGGAAAGTGGACGAACTGCGTCGACAACATGAGCAAGATATGCAGGAGCTTCATCGCAGTAGGAGTATGAGAAAGGAGAGGATGAATCAAGGACTTCAGGAGAAGTTGCAGCAGCGAAGAAGTCGACGTAACAAAACCGACGACGAATGAATTTCTTCAAAACTTTTTCCTTTTTCTTTCTCACTCTTTCTCCTTTAAACACTTGCAAATTCGATTAAACTCGAATTTTTGACACTTATCAAGAGAATATTTTCCCTTCGACCTACAGTATAACCCTTTATAGTTTTTATTTATATTAAAACATGAAAAATTCTTTGAAACTTATTAAAATTTAATTAACATAACATATTCCATGAATATTTCAATAAACAGATACGATTTAATAATGTAAAATTCTATTATAATAAATATACTTACTTTTTATGTGTTATGTTTATGAGCAGAGTGTGGCTTGATTTATTATAAATTTAAATCGTTTTGTATATTCAATAATATAATTTCTACTATTTAATTCACGTCTTTTTATTCCATGTTTGCACATCTTATATCAAGGGAGAAAAACCATTAAAAATAAATTTAAATGTAATAAAATGCGAAGAGATAAACTAACAAATAATTTTTCGAATTCTCACATTTTTATCTCCTTTGCTTTTCCGATAGTGTTAGATTGAAACAAATACAGTAATACCCCGAACTTACGCGATAGGTGGGACCGAGCGATAACCGCGTAAGTCGGGGTATTACTGTATACATGTATCTTTCTCGTTTTATTTGTCAATGATTGAAATGATAACTCAGGAAAACAATTCTTCAAGTTAAGTCACAATATTTCCATTATATTTGTAGATGACGAATGATTCTGTTGAAAGAGAGAGGTGGCATAGAGACAAGATTATGAATGATTCATTCGATCCAATGTTAACATTAACAAAGCAAACTTTATTTTACGTCTCAACAATTCGAGAGTAGGAGAATAAATGGTCAAGCTATTACAATAGTTGTGAGTCACGTCACCCGTTGGACAGCTGACTAAAATTGATCCACTTTTAATAAGGATAGGGTGACATGAATTCCACGAAACTCACCACAAATACAGTAGTTAATAGTAATAGAAAGCGTAAAACATGTGGCATGTCAATATGGCAGACATAACGAAATCATACGACTGTGTCGGTCACTTATTCATCTGTCTTTTTTCAATCAGGTTTTTTACATTCATTCTAATTAAAGCATATTCGTTTAATTTATTTAAACGTCATTATTTGAAGTCTAAAACTTTGTAAGCATAAATATCATTTAAGATAAGCATGCTTACTATAGGGCAGGCGGGCTCAGAAACGTTTCCTACCCTGGCCTATATTATTTCCTTTACATACTGTATGTACTGTAATTTTAAAATATTTCAATTATCTGAAATAAATTAACACACAACAGAAGGATAACTATTAAAAATACTATGGATATACTTTTAAATGTAATAAATCACATCATTAATTACAATCTGTCCTGATAGAGTGCGATTGTAAATTCCCTTCGCATTGGCAAGGAAACGGGGAGCTTCCAGGAACGAAGTAATAAAGTCACAGGCAGACCTGGTATCATATGTCCTGATGGCCGAGGTGTTTATGGCCATGAAGTTATAACTTACCGCTGAACAGTGGCGCATTATAGCTTCATGGACGTCCAGGCAAATCTGAATTAGGGTTTGTACGACGTTGACTTCAGACATTTTTTTTGGGGGAAAATGTTTCTTTATGAAAGATTGGTTCGGGCCTTCTGTTCATTGGGATCCCAGGCAATTATCTATTTTTCCCCATAGGATAGCCTGTCATTATTAATGCTACAGTTGTTTTACTTATAAATTGAAGGGCAAAAGGAAGCAATATCGGATTTTTTTTTTCGAGTACGAGTTTTCCAAAGAATGACAAGCTAGTGAAAGTCAAAGCTAATGCTTTGTTTTCATAACACCAGAAATTAGAAAGATGTATCAGAAACAGAATCTTTAACATTAATCTTTTAAAATGTAGGTTATAAAATAAAATAAAATATGTATTTGAAATGTTTATATTTCAGAAATATTATAAATATCATATCAAACCAGCCAATTTCATAGCTTCATGTAAATAAATAGACATAAAATCGTGTCATTAAAACATTTCTTTCAATTTTAATCTATTTCAATAGCACCAATAAGAAGTTTTGGGACATCTCGTACCGTATAGAAAGAATATATATATATATATATACATTTGTTTATATTACTGTATGGTATGTTAATTAAAAAATTATGGAAAACTTCCTAGTTTTCCTTTTTCTTTGCAGGGTGTCAGAATCTTTTGACCCCCCTCTGGGTGTGCCACTGCGTGCAATCCCAATTTAAGAGTTTAAAATTATTTCCGAAAGGCACCACTAGAGGGTTTTCAGTACTATACGAGTAACGTCGGCGAGTTGGTTTTATATTAATATTTATATATTTATACATACGCATAGTGAGTAACTTTTAATCACTGATTGTATTATGATTATATATGTACTCGTATATGTAATTTACATTAGATTACAATACTTTAATATATAGCACAAGTATTAATGTTCGTATAAGACGATATTAAGATCAATGAACTTGTGTCTGCTATAAATGACGAAGAAGCAAATATTAAAGTGTTTCCAGGTGTTTATTAATGCAGTAATATTTAGTATGATGCCAATGCTTATTATTATATCAATGGTTGCTCTCATTAGCTACGCAACATTATATGTAATTATTTATGTGATATTTACAGGGAGCAAAAGTTGACAGTTATTTTCATAAGGATTTAAAAATTTAAGGTTAATGCTTCAAAATATGTTTTTAATATGTCGAAATAGCTCTGTAATGATGAAACTGCCATTACCGTATATGATGAGTATAGAAGAAAATGATTTATAACAGTTACTAGATAATTTAAATTAATATATTTATATTCTTAAAATATTCTTTTTCAGTTTGAATGAGTAATGTTAAATTAATGTGGGAATGCTATTTTTATATTTAAAATTTGGAAATTAAACTTATAAATTATTGATTGTGTTTGTTATAGTAAACTTTACTTGCAATCGGGTCTAATGGAATGGTCGAGGAAACAGCAGTGATGTCTTGTCCTTATGTGTAAAAGTTTGTGAAATTTCTAGATTGGATTAAAACCAGAATTTTTTTTTTTTTTTTTTTTTTGTTGGCAGACTAATAACTTACTATATGATTGTCTGCCCAATATGTTTGTTGGAGATTAAATATGTAAATGCATTCTAAAATTATTGTGGTTTTATGATATTATAAGTAGAATACTGGTTTTGCCGAATTCTGTCTCTATCTCTTTGGCTTCTGCTTGATACTAAATATGTTATTGTCTGTTCACTCGGTAGAACAAAAATTGTGACTCTTGGAGAGGACAACCCTCTGCCATTTAGCAAGAATTTAGTGCTAGTATTGTTTGTGATGAAATTGCATTGGCATGGATGTTGTCAATAAGTATCTGCTCCAAAGCCCTGTTGTGTGTTGACACAACAGGGTTTACTGCACTGTCATGTTGGAGACCTTCCTTGTGGCTCCACTTACACTTAGATGTTCGGTTCAACACTAGCATGTTGATCACCACTCCTAACCTAACCATTGCAGTCATGTTTATCTCTGGCATGAATAGCATGTGGACTTCTACAATTGGCATGTTGAGTAGTCAAAGGTGTTATACTCAGCCAGTCCTGATACACCTTCACTACTGTAGCATATGATTCTTTTATGAAGTCTACTGTCTTGGAAATGCTGAGTCTGATAAATTGCAACCTGTGCCCATGGTAGAGACTGCTCTTATTTGTATAGATTCAAAATATGTCTTATACACATGCAGTATATGACCATGATACATGTTCCTTCTGACTTTATAGATGTGTGCAACATCTGCAGTGGAAAAGCTCGTAATTATTTGACTTGACTCTATAACTTTATAATTACCTCCTTTAATTGGATGCCTTCAAATTAAATACACTAAAAAAAACCAACATTTCAGCAGTTTATAATCTTAACTTTTACTTTCTAAATAAAAATGAGTATACTTGATTTTTATAGAGACAACAATATACTGTATGGCATGGAAAGTCCTATGAAGCTTTGGGTACATTTTAAAGAATTTAAATTCAACATTAGATTATGTATGTTATATTTGAATTCTTTTAGAAACCTGAAGATGGTTGTTTTAAAAAAACCAAAAATGTTTGCTTTTATTTAGAAAGTAAAAGTTATGGTTATAAACTGTGGGATTTTTAGTTTTTTAGTGTATTTAATTATAACTTTATAAAACAAAATGTTAGAAAGATAATAATCAAAATTTATTAGATTTATTTTTGAAAATTTGATATTAAAATATTTTAATAGTTATAAATAAAGGGTCAGTTTATTTATTAGCATAATGTTTATGTATATAAAATATCTGTCTCCATTCCAATATTGTTATAGTCTGCTTTTAATGTTTAAAGTTTCATGATCAAAATTCAAAACAATTCAAACAAATAAAAAATATTAATATAAAATAAGTGTTATAATATTCATTATATAAAAAAATAACCTTGAATTATGAATAACATTATTGAAAAACTCTCTTCTTTTTCTTTCTGGTAGTTCATTATTAAGAAAGCTTTCCATATAAAATAATTTATATTATTATAGTTATTTACTTTTGGTTTTTACAATTGAATGTCATCAAATACTATCAACTTTTTGGCAATTTCTGAATTTGTCCTTTTTCTCTTAGTACAGTATTTTTCAACCTTTTTTATAGTGGTACTCCAACTTGGTAATTTTTTCTTTTGGCATTCTTGCTTAGCGATGTAAAGCTATTGTGTTTTTTTATACTTTTAGTAATACATGTAAGAAGTGTTATGACACTGCTCAACACTATAATTTGTGGTGTCATTGTGGCACTTTAGTGTCTCACACTACCCTTATAGAAAATCACAATATTAACAGATGTTTTTATAATTTTTTTCTACTTTAACCATATCTCAATTAATCCCATCAATTCAGTTTATTGCCTTGCAGTTCTTTTTTTCATTTGTTTTTCAGTTTGTTCAAAAACATGCATAATCTATACATGATTCAGTGTTTGCCAATTTTCATTGTATTGTATATTTCTTTCTCTGCTTACTGTCACTCTGTATTATCTAAACTTGACAAACCAGGTGGTCTTCAACTATTGTACGTTTTGCATAGTTTGAAATATCAACAAGGTAGATAATATGATCATTATTGACAAATAATTTGTTGTAAAATATTTAAATATAATTCTGTTATATTATCATGGCAATAAAAATATTTTTTGAATACTACTATGCATATGTAGCTAGAACTATTTCTAAGATTATCAGCACAAAACCTTTCTCACTAATTTCTAGCCTTATTAACTGGAGTACAAAGTGTACCCGAGGAAGGCCTATTAAGAAGGCCGAAAACGTTTGTACTCCAGTTAATAAGGCTAGAAATTAGTGAGAAAGGTTTTGTGCTGATAATCTTATTTTTTGAATGAATTTTAAACAGCAACTCTTGTATTAATTATACAAGACCTAGTCAAAGCAAATAAAGACTGATTTTTTTTTGTCACATTATAATCATTATAGAATATAACAGCTGTGATCTTTTTCAAAGTATGGAATTCAATGCACTTCTGCCATTATTTTTGCCAGTCCTTGAAAATGTCTAGTAGCTCATCTTGTAAAATATAATCAGAATTATTTCCAATGCTTTGACAATTGCTGTTGTAAATGGAAAATGCATTTGTGTGACTTCAACTTTAGTGATAAGAATTGGAAAAAGTTGCAGAAATATAATTATTTTTTTAGAACAAACTTGAAAGAATATAGTTTTGCCACCAGTAGTAAAATTACAATTATTGTCAATCCATTGCTGTAAAAGCAACAAATTAGGAAACAATACCTAAAGTAAAATCATTTAAGTGCATCACACAAAACATCCACTAAAATCTCAGTTTTATGTTTTTGAAGGGACCATCTGAAAAAACTACATAAATGAAGAAACATATAACTGGAAACTGCCAATTTTTATGGACCAGTTGAACCAGACAATGAATCCACATTTAAGAGATGACTGTATTGTTATCCACATGTACAAATCAACTAAATAAAAAAATGAATAAAATCTCTTGCCCTTGTATATCACAGGAATTTATGTAACAAAGTACTCATGAATTGTGAATTTACACTTATCAATTTATAAAAAGAAATGTATTTAACACGCATGCCTACAGTTTTAAACATTTTAGTCTTAAAAAATTGAAATAATTTTGTTTCAAAAAAAAAATCTTTAATTATTTTTGAAAATGAGCTAAAAAATCTGAAAAGGTTTTTGCATTAAATAGAATTAATACTTTTAACACAATTTCCTATACTATTGATTTTGCTTCATACCAATATTCTTGATAGTTTAAACACAATTCCAAGATTAATCATTAAATATGTTTAAAAATGTAAATTTTACTTTGAAATAATTTATGAATGCATCATCTTTTTTTATTATATTTCATGAATTATTTCTTAAAAGGAAGTGCAGGTTATGCAATAAAACACTCCAGATATTACACTAGCTCTTCATTATCATCTGTTTCTTCACAATTTTAAAAGAAAAAAACTATGAAAATGCCAAATAGTTTGAAAACCATATGAAAATATTTTACAGTTTAAAAGGTTTTAAGATGGCTTCTTCACAAAACTATTAATTTTATGGAAAAATATAAATGCTGATTAGCATAGCTTTGAATGTGATTGTATTGTATTATATTTCAATTTAAAATATAACAACAAATTTTTTTGATAATTCATAATTACTATAAAAAATAGATTTCAATTAATTTTTCTTTTGTAAATTTTAATATTTAAGATTTTTAAGAAATGAATATATAATTCTTAAAATTTGTTTTTCAATTATTTTTTTATAGAAATGATAAAATAAGAAAGAAAAAAAAAGAAAATCAGTGATATTAAGATATTAAAGGAGAAAAATTAAGACATGGAAACAGCACGCCAATATGCTGATGTAAGTATTTGTTGGTATTTTGATAATATTTTTATTATAAAGCTACTTCAAATTAATGAATTTTTGCCATAATAAGCTACAAATATAGATGCTTATTAGAATGAGAGTTAAACTTTGTCATGTGTAAATTGAATAATTAGAAACATTTAAAAAAATAACAATTTGCTTCATATTGAAAAGTATTAGATATTAAGCAATGACAATGACTGTAGTGACAATGTGTAATGATTGATTAATCAGCCAAACAAATTACTAATTATCAGTTATTATTATTATTATTAATATTAATTACTACATTCTGTTAAATTTAAGTCAATTAAAACTTTATAGATAGTTCTGTTAATAATTTGAAACTTATAAATGAACCATTTTCTGTGTTTGCCTACTATTATAACCAAAATATAAACAAAAAAATGCTTTATTGAGGTTTACTTTAATAACAAGTTTTTCTCAAGTTGTCCTGATGATGGACAACTGAGACAGAAAATGCTAAAGTGACTCAGTTGTAGCTAAGTCACTTAAGTTTGCACATTGATCAGATATTACATAAATACTCACATCTAATTACTAAGAAAATTTTTTAATATCTTCCATTTCAATCACATGTGCAACATTTCTTACTATTTGAGAACTGTATTTTAATCTATATCAAATGTAGCAAAGAAAGTTTTATTTTATCATGTTTGTATTGCATTATGTTTGAGTAATCTTAGATTAAAAAAAAACAACAAAATTAATTAGTTTCAATTAAAATGGCTGATGATATATTTCATAATCTATACTAATATTATAAAGAGGTAAAGTTTGTAAGTTTGGATGTAGGAGGTAATTTCTGAAACTACCCATCTGATTTCAAAAATTCTTTCACCAATATTTAGAATGGGCCTTCAGGGGGACATAGGCTGTATATTATTCCGTTAAACATTCATATAAATTAAAAGATATCATCTAGGTAAGCATTATATTTTTGGCATCAGTGGGTGGCAAGGGGCAAGACGCATGTGTATATGAGATATGTAACCGTGTAGTGCAGTCACGTGGTTGGCGAGATATGCAGTACATGTGTCTGAACTTCTACTGAATATAAATGGTGTTTGCTTGCAAAATCTGCACGGGTAAAGTTGCAGGTAACAGCAAGTTTAAAATATAGAAGAAACTAAGTTGTCTTCATTCTTCTGTCATGCCCAATTACCAGGAATAATAATTTTCTTCTGAGAGACAGCCGTTTATTCATTTTCTGTAAAATTATGTAAAACCTGGTGATTGGACATGACAGAAGAATGAAGGCAACTTCATTTTTTCTATATTTTAAATTGTGAAATATACTGTCTGCCATTTTAATTGAAAATACAGTAGTACCTCAGGATACGAAATTAATCCGTTCCGAAACTGAGATCGTATCATGAAAATGTCATAAGGTGAATCATTTTTCCCCATATGATTACATGTAAAACCAAATAATTCGTTCCAACATGAAAAACACACTCAAATTAAAGCTAAGTAGTACATTGAAAAAAAAGTAACTTTAGTAAAAATGTGTTTTGTAGTTGTAAATGTATAAATAACTATAATAGAATAAAAATTGATTAAAAAAATGTAGTTTTATTTGCGGACTTTTGAGGATAGATGACGGTAGAGGTGTAAACTGGTGGAGGAGGAGAGGAAGAAGGGAAATGATACTAAAATTTAACTTACATAACATAAGGTAACAATAACTTAAAAATAACTTAACACTAATTTTTTAACTTTTCTGTTATATATATATATATATATATTTTTTTTTAAAACATTTTATTCACTGCTTTTTGCTGTATTTCCTTCACTTCCACCAGTACTTTAACGCAGCCGGATGACCAAGTGGTCAAGGTGGCAGCCTACCACTCTGGGGGACTCGCCCGGCAGCCCCATTGTGGGCCTGGCTGAACCCATAATGGGCTTGCAAAAAGAGGCCCTCTTAGTGCCCACAGGCGAAAAGAGTACAAAAAAAAAAAAAAGAAAAAAAGAAAAAACTCAGCACTTTCACTTCACTGGATAGAGGTTGCTCGGTAAAATATCTATCCAAAGAGGTTTGGCTTTGCCTAGTTTTTAAAATGTTTCTAAAATGACTTAGGCAAATGTCATTACTCTGAGCAGCAATATGGCCAGTGTGAAGCTTTTTGGAATGTTTATTTTCAATAAAATCAGTCACTTTCTGATAATACAAGATTTCCTTTATCGAGCGAGATCCTTCCAGGACGAAGCAAACACGCAGACTGGGATCAATGAACAGAAGTGAATAAAAAATGGCACTGTGAACTAATGTAATGTCGTATGGTGAGTTTTTGTTTGTACTGTGGAGCAAAATTATGTTCAAAATTCATGTTGTACCCTGAAAATTTCGTATGCTGGGGCATTTGTATCCTGAGGTACCACTGTATATATAAATTTTAAAATATTTTGGTTTATCATCAGTTAATTTTTTAACTGTTTTACATAATTTTGCAGAGGTGTAGCTTCTAATAAAAGGCTGTCTCTGCAAAGTAAAACTTATTTTTGGTGATTGGACATGATGGAAGAATGAAGATGAGTTAGTTTCTTATTTTAAATTGTGAAAATTAATTAGATTTTAGTGGCATCACATATGTTTTGTAAAGAAATGTGTCATCTCTAGATCTCTGCCCAAGGTGAAAAAAATCATACATAAAAACCTTTAAAAATCTTCTTGTAGCACAAACCATACAAAAAATTTCAACTAAATATTTTGTATTGTTTCTGAGATGTTAAAAAAGTAACATTTTTGTAGCACTTTAAGATAGACTATCATGATCAGTACTAGATTTGCTCAGCAGTCTGTATAACTAACAATAAATTATTTAGTTAATTTGGGACATTTCATTGTGTGTTTTGGGCTAAAAATATTGGGTTAAACCAAAAGTTCATTTGGTTTTTAGAAAGAAATAAAACATACTATTTTGAAATAAATAAAAACCTTTAATCCACAATGTATTCACCCTTCTGTTCGATAACCTTATGCCACCTGACGGGTAGTTTCATAATTCTGTCTGTGTAGAATTGGGTGGGTTTCTGATTGAAGAAATTATCGATGTGATTTTTGATACCTTCTAGAGATTGAAATTCTATGCCATTTAAATTATTCTGCAATGAACGAAAAAGATGATAGTCTGAGGGAGCAATATCTGGAGAATATGCAGGGTGACTCAAAACATCCCAGTTAAAGTCTAGAAGTTTTTGGCGCACGTTTAACGACATGTGCAGTCTTGCATTATCATGATGGAATACCACTCCCGTCGATTTGCAAGTTCCGGATGTTTTTGATGCACTGCAGCCTTTAGTTCATCCAGTTGAAGACAATATTTATTGGAATTAAATTAATTAATTGTTTGGTTGTTGGGTAAAAGCTCGTAATAAAGAACCCCTTTCCAGTCCCATCAAACTGAAATCATTACTTTTCTGGGATGCAAACCAGTTTTAGGTTGTTGCACTGGAGGATCACCTGGCTTACTTCAAGATCTCTTGCATTGAATATTGTTGTAAATGATCCATTTTTCATCACCTGTTATTAATCACTTTAAAAAGGGATCATCATCATTGCATTTTAAAAGTGAATCACATACAGAAACACGCTCAATAAGGTTTCATTCACTTAACTTATGGGAAACCCAAACATCGTAACGGGAAGTATATCCAAGGCTAGCCAAATGTCTGACAACAGATGTTTGGGATATTTTTAAGATATCGACTATCTCTCGTGTTGTTTTATGCCAATAATTTTGAATTAAAGCCATTATGGACTCATCTAAGGTTGAAGGTTGTCCTGACTGAGGTGTATCTTCGAGAGAAAAATCTCCCTTCCTGAATTTTGAAAACCATTTCTGGCATGTTTGATCAGTAACTGCATCCTCCCCATATACAGCACATATTTTTTTTTTTGAGTTTTTGTTGCATTTTTTTCTTTTCAGAAATAATAGAGTATCAGACGTCGAAAATTCTTCTTATCTTCCATTTTAATGTGTTTTTTTTCTTAAAAGTTAACAAAATTTTAAAAAATAGCTGTAATTAAACTTACGTAATAAATATGCATATATTCGTAATGTCAGCCTAAACAAGTTAAAACTTGATAAGCACAACAGAGGCACCACAGACAAGCAATTATGTAAATACCTTAACAAACTTTTGGTTCAACCCAATACAAAAAGAAATATTATGACTTGGCAACTTTTAAATTAATCTACTTATTTCATAAAAAGGAGTTTGTTCAGCATTTACAAAGAAGCACTGTTTCAAACATTATAGTACACAAGATATAATTCAAACAACATTAAATTATAGGAATGATGTATGTGTCTGTCATGGTACTCCCCCACAAAGAACTCTGAAAGATAGGAAAATTATTTGTCCTTTCCAACCAATGTCATCCTCTTGATATGAGGGTTCTAGGGATGAATAACTATGGCTGTGACATAGTATGAGGTTCTAAAGAAATTCTTTTTTTCTCAGGGCAATTCTTTGGTGTGATGTCTTATGTATATGGGCAGTCAAATTATAGCCAAGCACTCAAAATGGGATCCAGGTCATCATGATGGATGACATAAATGATCATTCAAGTCTAGAAATATGGTTTAAAATATATTTTAACAACTAGATAGATTAGTCAGCTTAGCTGACTAATCTATCCAGTTGTCTTCTTTTTGTTGTTACCCTCTCTGTCCCTAGGTCTTTGCTTACTGGAGTTTTTATAATTGGTCTGGTTCTGCTACCATTTCATATTTGATGATTTATAAGTGATTAATTTAAAGCAATATGGACTTAGTCTTATATGACCAAGGAGTGAGTCATTTTTGGTCTTATTCTCTCTCTCTTTTTTTTTAATCTAATGTTAGTGCAGAACTTAAAATAGCATCCTCTCTATTTAGAGAGGATGCTATTTTAAGTTCTGGCCATTTTGTTTACCAATTTCCATTTTTAGAATATATTTTAAACCATATTTCTAGACTTGAATGATCATTTATGTCATCCATCATGATGATCAAATTAAAATATATTTCAACATTGATTACTAATAATAATTAACTTTTTGTTTAAATAAAATTAATTTACCTATTTATTACTAAGCTTTAAAAAGTATAGGATATTTTAAGGTAAATTTGGAAGGCAATTTTCTGTGAAAACAAATATTTAATTTAAATTAGTATTTGAACACAAAATGCTTTTGTTGTTTCCAAAAGTATTTTCAGATATTTTAAACTTTTTTCCTCATATGAGTATAACATTTTATGTCTATACCAATATAATTTATGAGAGTGTTATTTAAGTACTGAATATAAACTGCAACTGTGGACATTTAAAATTTACAGTAAAACTTTTGTTTGCAGTTTAATTACAAATGTTTTTGGCTTTTTTTAAAGACAACCTTCAGGTAAAATATAGAATAAATAGAATATAACATAAAAGCTTTGGAGCAACAAATGACAGTTAATTTAAATTTTAAAACAAAAGAATAAAAATAAAATATGATAAATATAAACAAAGAAATAAATAACAAAGTTAAAAAATACGTAATAAACAATACATAAGAAATATAAAAATACATAAAAGTGAGAATATAAAATAAACTAAGTAAACAATGCAAATAAAATGCAGGAGGAGAATACATCATGAAAGTAGAGATAAAAGGATGTCAAGGTTATCCAAAATGCAACTCATAGCAAGCTTTCCAGGTAGTTGACAGGCATTGAGGTCCTGATAGTTGATAGAGCTACCTTATTGGACAGATTTGTAAATGTAAAGGACCTCTGTGTAATGTATGCGAGGCTCATTCCTAATGCTGTTAATGATTTTGGCTTGTTGCCAGCTTCCATTGACAGAATGAGGAAGAGCTTAGGCTGCAAGGGCTGTAACCAGGTTGGACTTCTGAATGTTCTACCTATGATACTTCAATCTTGCTTCTAAAGATTTTAATTGTGGCTCCTATGTATTGAAGATCATATGCAACTCTCATGTCTTTAAGTGGAATGGTGTATACTCCTGGAACATTGCTAGGGTTAGAGGATCCTTATTGTTACATAAAAGCTTGCAGATTGTTGGATTCCATTTGTATAGGATTTTTTGTCTGGTGGCTTTAGTAATTTGCATATACATATGATGGCAAGGTCTTGCATATCAAATAAGTATGTAATCTGATGTTATAGAATCATCTGTAAGGTTGATTATTGTTGTTGATGGGTTCCAATTAGAACTTATCTATAAGAGCCTCAATAATACTAGTTTTAAATTCAAAACATTGAGCAAGAGATTTGATATACTTGAATTCTTAAATCCTGTCACAGGACATTTGACAGTATGTATAGGCTCATTTAATTAATCTCTAAGACTTCCAATTTGTAGTGCAAGAAGTCATTAGAGGTCCAAGGAATGAAAAGCAGATTGTAAGTCAGTTTTAAAAAAATGTTGGTCTTAATAACACTGTCTCATATAGAGATAAAGATATCCAAAAAGTATACTTCGGAATTATTCTCTTGTTCAAGGTTTAAAATGAAGCTGTTTGGGTTAACATTGATGTCAGGAAGAAATTCAACAATATTACACCATGGTTTCCAAGTAATCAATGCATTGTCAATATATCTTGCATACATCCTTGTGCATACTTCAGTAAAATTGAAGATTCCAAAGATCTTAAGAACAATTCACAAAGATCTTAAGACTAATTCACATTTGTGAATTAGTCTTAAGATCTTTGGCTACCTATGAGAACCAGTGGCGTAATGGTTCAACATATCTGGCGCCTGGGGGCACGACACTTTTTTGGCACCCCCCAAATCTTGTTTGTCTTGGAGACCATTTGGCACCCCTCTGTGAGTGGTGCCCAGGGCATGATAGACCCCCATGCCCCCTTCGCTATCCCCGCGTTTCTTTATGCAGCGCTCGAGAAGCGCTTTACAGCGAACACACTGAAGCTGGTTTCTAATTGGCCAACACTGCTTGTGACGTCATTTCGCTACACTCTCACTGCGTAAAGAAACGCGGGGTATGCTAGTGATGAGAACACCTCTATTCTGGACATACTGTACATGGTGCCATCAAAAACAAAAAAAAAAAGAAGAAATATGTGGCCAGATGTGCCAACTCTAATATATATGGAAGTAGCATAGAAGTATGAAATTTTATCAAGGAGGAAGTCCCGTAGATGACAGAAACATGGTTCCAATCTTATGAAAGGATATAAAGCCGTGAAGTCAAGAACTGTGATGTATTTTTCATTGAGAAGTGGCAAGTCCTGGAGGTTCTTCACAAGAACTAAATAATGCTGTAGTCATAGATAGTTAAGTAAGAAATTTGTTGAGAATGCATTCAATCTGGATGGTAGATGAGCAACTTTTTTCTATGATATGTTTAACATTTATGCCCATTTTGTGAAGTTTAGTAAAACCAAACAATCTTGTGTAGAAGGTGATAGACAAGAACATTGTTACTAATTAAACACAAAGAGAAAATCATGAAAAATAATCATGGCCAAAAATTACATGAATTGTGGTATGCATTTTTGACCGGAGGGGGAGTGTATAAATAAACAGGGGAGAAAATGGCAGTTTTTCTAGAATGTACTGCAGGTCATTGGTTCATCTTACTTATTTTACAGTATATCGGTTTATTATTTATTATTTTACAATTTTAGCAGTGTATCGGCATATTATTATATTTTATTGTTTTAACAGTGTCTATTATTACGTATATTTTTCATCTTATTGCTTGTTTGATTTTAATGTTCTATGCATCAAATTGGCATGTTAAATGTAAGTCTACAACATTTTTATTTAAGTTATTTGCAGTACATGAAATTGTTACCATCCTTTTAATATTGTAGCACACAGAAATTCTGATCTGTAACCAATATTTTATCATTGTCATTTTACCAATTGTCACAATTTCACTGTATTTTTCGTAAATGTGCTAACATCAATCTCAAAATTATGGAAGTGGAATTACAACCTAAAAAACTTTTTACTGTTAATATAATCTAACTTGCATGTTTTTTCTTAAATATAGTTATTGTACAGCATGCTGAGAATGGACTTAAGGTCCGAAATGCATTCATTTTTGAAATAGTAAAGTGATTTTCTAAGGCTAATCTGATGTCCTGTGGTGGTATAATAAGTCTAGCAATAGAGAAAGGCCAATTTAGTGCTTACAAGCTAAGAACATTGTTCATGTAAAACTTGTGAGCCAAAAATGTTTAAGTGAAGTGTTTGATTTGAGACTATAGACAATCCAAGTGATGGTCCGATGCCAGTATACAACTGGTAGCAGTTATATATGCTTGGTATGCCCTCTTGTATAAGGAATGGGATAAAATAATCAAATCCTTAGATTTGTCAACCTGTATTAAGATCAGCATCATTATCCTTAAGCTATTTCTTGCTGGCAACCACAGAGTTTAAGAAGAGCTAGGGTTATTGTACTTTAAATTTTTCTGAATGGTAATAGTGTCCTCCATCTAAAATACTTCTGTTGGATTTCACTAAGCACTTCAATTGCATGTTCCACTTGAATTATCTGAAAGAACTCTTTTGGATAATTCTATTCTTTCATTTTGTTTGGTTCTGTATTTTACCCGAAGAAGGTCTTTAAAAAAGACTGAAAACATCTGTAATTAAACTGTTTTGCTGAAAACAAAGGTTTTAGTATGAATTATGCTATTCAATAAATTTGTTAAGTTTATTTTTATAATTAATAATTTGTTTGTACCTGGTAAATTTATAATTAATTGAAATTTTAAAATATATTTTTGAGTATTTTTAAATTAACTGAATATATTCACAATTGTAATCTTTTTATAATGTTTATTTTATTATAAAGTGTTATATTTTTATTAATAGTGTAAATTGTTAATTTACAGTTTTTATTACAAACTGTCAAACAGAGACCAATGGATTTATTAAAACAAATTAAACCAGAAACCAAATGGTATGCTATGTGTTTATATAATAATAATAATTGAATTATATTTATTCCTAGTTTATTCTTTTAATTTTTAAATAATATTTTATTAAAAAATTTTGCTGATATTAAAATACATACAAAATTTTATATAAGTTCATCATATTATAAATTAAAGTATACTTACATAAGATTTGATTTTTGTGCAACAGAGATAAAATGAAACATTTACTTTACAGACATTTTTTGAATTTTATAATGAAAATAATGACAATGCAATATTTAAAAGAAATTCATGAAGTTAACATAATATAGTCAAATCAAAAGCATGCTATTGTGATATTTTCATATAAATTATTATAAATATTGTTTAAAGAAAATTATAACTACCTGATGTAATGAATTTCCAGAGAAAGTATGAAAGTCATTTATGTAGCTAAAAAATGTGATACATATTCTTGTAATATGAATGGAAAACTAAGAACAAAGTATATTAATTGAAAAAGTCTTTCAAGTGTAAAAATTAATATTCTGGTAGTCTCAATAAGGAATAAAATGCAGATAAGTAATTACAAGATATGTAACTTAAATTTGTCAAAATTGTTTGTGTTTTATGCATTAACATTGTCAGTGCAAAGGACACATACATGGCATCCAATATTTACAGACCCGAGGACACCATATATGTCCAGCATTTTATAATGCATATTTTATATTTTGTTTGGTCATTAAATTGAATGCCATATTGTTGTCTGTTGTGTCATATGTGCTTTATCAGGAAATTTTTTACTTATTATTGAATATTTATTTTTATGTTGACTAATAGGAAAAATTTGGGGCCTTGTGTATATATATATATATATGACTTCATTATTCATTCTTCATCAATAAATAAATAAAAAAGAATTTTTTCAGATAATGGACTTTAATGTATGTACTTTATGTATTTTACACAGCAGTCATGACTGTGTGATTGGTAAGGAACCTAATTATTTTTGGAACATTTCAAGAGCATTTATAGTTCTAAGAATACATCAAAAAATTCTGATAAAAATTTGAAGATTGTCATATAGTACAATCTTGGTAATTTGATATATAGGGAACCTGAACAATGTCAGATTAAGGAGATTGTTGGATTGTTGAAAATTAACACATTTTGATAAATTAATAATTTAAACGCAATAAATATGTGATCAAAATTGAAAATAATTGAGCAGATTAACAGATATGGAGTTATATGTTAATGATGCAGCAAAACACAAGTTGGACTACTGATCAAACATCTGAGAGTGCTGCTGTCAATGGTAATCTATGTTGCCCAGTTGGTTGGATTACCATCAAATTTAGCAGAAAATTTAAGCTACCATTGGAAATCTTGTGGGAGGTACAGTATATTTTTTGGGGTTGATTTTTATATTTATACAACATTGTTATAAGATACTTTTCCTACTTTGAGCAGCCTGAGATGATGACCATAACAGCTTTTAATATTGTGCCTAAGCTCAAGTGTTGAAGCTGAGGTTCAATATAATGCCATGTTTTGTGGGAACTGCAGTTTGAACTAGTGGGAGGCTTGTCTATGACTTGGCAACAGTGCCTATAATATCTGAGAATACTTAAGGTGCCAGATAATTAGATGTGTCAAACTAGTTAATAGCCAGATTGCACTGTGTTTTCAATATTAATGAAATGGAATATCAAATTTGGAGAGCTCTATAGAAAATTGAGGTCCAAAGGATTAAAAAACATTACAATTAAGTTTACAAAATACTTGATTTACTCAAACCAGTTTAAGCAAATAAAAGTCAAGGCCATGAATTGAATGCTTGTAGTACTCAATTTGTTGAGTTGGTATTGGATATGTTAGTAGTTATAAGTTTTTAGTGATACTACTATCTACATATCATTTTTAACTTGTTGAACAAGTTACTTTTACATTTATGACATGGCATTTGATATCATGCTTATTTAAGCTGTAAATATCCATTGATAAAAACATTTTAAACTGGATTGTAATTGTATCTTTACCATAAGATGTTCTTTACCAGAAGGTTTTTATTAGATAATAGTCAGACCTTTCTTCTTATACTCAATTACTTGAAATGCCATGAATGAAGATAGGATTACAGTCCAGTTTGAAGTATTTTAGAAAATAGAGGCAGTTACTTCAGAAGTGAAATTCAGAATTATGAATTGAAGCTTTATGACTTCATAGAGCTCATTGTATTTTCAAAAAGTTATCTTTATCTATCTTTGTTTTTAATTATAAAGCTATATTAGTTTTTGATTAAAATATTTCCTGATTTTTTACCAATTTTCAAATAAATAAAATCTATTCATTAAACTTTTCTATAACACAATAACAGCAACAAATATCAAATCTTTCTCAAGAAGTCAAAAACTTTTATTTGAAGCATTTTCAGGACAAATATCTCAACATTGGAAATATAAACATTCTAAATTCTGAAAATATCATTGCTCGGTTTCCATAGCAATCAAATGTTCTAAACTCAGAAAGCTTATAAGCATTTTATAGCTAAATAAACATATATTAAAATTTAATAATTTAACATTAAATGCACTCCATTTACAATTGCATCCCACTTGTAATGTCTATTTTCACTGAAAACTCTTTATCACACGCTACATGTTTCAAATGCACTAAACTTTTCTATTTCTTGTTTGGAAGATTTTTTATAATAATTTTTTCTTTGACAGGTATAAGAAGAGAATCCAGTGGTGACTATATTCATAATAAACTTTATTATATTTAAATTGAAAAAAAATCTACTTTGTTTAAGATGTAAAAACTGTTTAATTTTTCTTTTTTAATGCTTCCAATTTTTATTTGGATCTAACAATTAGACTTTTAATAATGATTTTCCTATAAGGAGCAAAACTTCTACTTTATTGGAGCTTTCTTTTACAAATATTTAACATTCAAACATTTTTCAAGCTTTTTCCAGTTTATCTGTAGATGTGTATTCTATCTAATGTTTTAAAATATTTAAAAGTATCAAATTCAAACATTCTTCCTTTCAATATTGGAGACAGTCCATCAATTCATTTTGATGTCTTCTGGTAGCTTAATTCCAAACATCATAAAATTAAAAACAAATTTATTTTAAACTTGAAATATATAAAATAAAATATACAGCTTTGCTTTCCCATTACAAAATCAAATATTTCCATTTTTTGTCACTAAATATTTATTTACNAATATTTCAATAACCATAGTAATTGTTATATAACACCTACCGCTGAAGAGAATTGCTGAAAATCAAACGAACTATTTTCAATTTGATCAATTTTCTGGAATGTTTACAATCATTCTATAATCGAACCAATATGCAATAACAAATTCGAATTTAAAACAGTTCGAACATTTGGTTAAAAAATCAAAATATATAAAAATATTTATAACTATGTCTGAAATGTTATCAATTTAATACACCTAAGCACTCAATGAAAACTAAACATAGTTGAAAACAAAAAATCGCATCTAAAATATTACAGTAGAAGTCATTCTTCAGGTTAAGCCTTAATGCTTTCCCTCTCCCCTGTGGGGGAATTTCGAAAAATCCCTTCTTAGTGTGCGTTTTTATGACGTACCCTAACTGTGTACAAAATTTCACCTCTTTAGGTTCAGCAGTTTGCTCTGGGTGATGATGAATCAATCAGTCAATCTCTCAATCAGTCAGGACAAGTAATTTTATATAATTAGATAAATCAGTGTTAAGTAAGATTCACTCTACTTCCTAAATTTTTTTTTTGTTTTTTACCTTTCAAATTACCATTTCATTTTCTTAGTAATGAGTCATATCCCCTTCATAGGCAATGTATCACTTCATAGGCAATGTATCTTATTGTTGTTTTTAGTATCTAGACTTTTGTTATTTATGTTTTTTCAACATATTCTATATTTTCTTTTTTTCCAATGTTTCCAATAGTATACTTTCTCACATTTCTTTTGAGTTTGCCAATATCGTGTAATATCTAGTTTTATCTTATGATTTCTTTCCTCTTTGTCATTTATTATCTTGCTAAAAAGTGTTAGATATCTTTTCAAAGTTATCTTATGCTTCATTGACTTGCTCATGTTTCATAAAAGCTTTTCAATTAGATATAAAATATAGTTTTTACTTCTCTTCTTTCTTTACTTACTTTTTATTTTATTTATATATTTAGTTATATTTTTCATTAAGTTTCAATATTTTTCACTGATCTTATAATTTTTCCCTAACATTTCATCTCCTAAATTTTTTCCAACTTGAAGAAAATATAAATGCTGTCTTAACTAATGAATGGAATACTGTTAATAAGCTTTTGCAGGAATTTAAATCAGTTTGTATGTCCTTTCTGTATACACTGAAATTCCAAATAAATCAGATTCTTTGGTAATCTGTAAATCTAAAAAATGTTCTTTTAAAAGTGGTTCTTGTTTCTGTTGTTTTCTAGTCTATATCTTTAGATGCTAATTGAAAGGAAGATTGCACAGGAAAATTAAGGAAAACATATTTTTATAAAGTCTTTTCTGTATAGCTAACATGTATCTCATACAAATTGTAATATGTTCATTAGATATTTTTATAATTTTATTCTCCATTGGTAAGTTTATAGTAAATTAAAATCAATGGATAATAAAGAAGAATTGGTTACAAAGGCTTAAGAGGATTAAAATGGGAAGATATATTGACCACTTCTGATTTTATTACTTGTGTTAATCAGTCTTAGAACAACCATCTTTTCTCCAAATTAGGAATATTCTTACAAGATGGAGAACATTTCTCTGCTTACTGGTCCCATTTAGTATATTTCATTAGGCTTATTTTAAATTTGAAAATGATTGTTACAGACAGAAGAGGGAGAGTATGTACATATTTCCTATGTATTGGAAATTATGGTTAGAAGTAAGGTTACAGTAAAGTTATCTTTTTTACTCCAAAAGAAAATAGTCTTATGAAAGAAGAGGAACCAATCCAAATCATTTGTGAAATTGGGTATATCACAAGAAGGTTTTAGCTTGAAATAAAATTAATAAAAGTTATTTCTCTCTCTCCAATGGATAATATTACAGGAGGCTGTTGCATACAATATTTAAATTATTGCTTTAAAAATTTATTTCCTGCCATGTATTCAATGTAAAAAGAGATGAAGGTGATATATTAGTGTTTGTGAATAATAGTCAAAGTGCAAGTATCTGTTGCAATTTTATAAATAACTTTGATAAAGTGAAGATTCATCTTTATCAGTAATAAGTTCAGCATCATATATAATCAGCATTATTCAGATCAGTATTTTACCTTAAAATGAGTAAGAAAATGTATTAAGCTAACTTTTAAAATTAAATGTTGATTCAATAAATGATTACATATATAGTACTTTTAATAAAAGTTAAATATAATCAATTTAATATTTTTATAAAAAATTAGAACAGATTTTAATTAATGTATTAAGTTTTTTGTAAAAATTTTTAGATTATAGGGAAGACTAATTGTAACTTTAAAATTGAATTTTAGACTATTGTTTTAGTTTTATGAATAAAATACCTAACCAAGAGAAATTCTGGCAGTATTTTTTTGTTAGCATTTTAAAGTTTTTAATTTAAATTCAATATTATGTATTTCAATTAGTTATTCATTAAAAAAGATAGTCCATTTCATTTGATATTTAGTTAATTGTAAGTTGCAAAACTATACAGACAAAATGTATATTGTAGATGAACTTCTGAATAACTTCACAGAAGGTTATAAAAAAAATGAAGACCAGAGCTTGAGCCTCATTGTAAATGAGGTAAAAACCAAATGTTTTATTAACAACAAAATTTAAATAAATATTCTGGCAGAGCTTACAAATTGATGGTAAAAGTATGAAAGAATACAACAGTTGACATATTGAGTTCAGTTATTACAGTTAATGATGATAAATCAAAAAGATTAAAAGAAGTGATAAAGAGATGTTATGGAATGTATTTATCTAGATTCTATTGCCAGATCAGCAAATTATAAATATCCGTATTTACTCGCATATAAGACGAGGTTTTTATCCATTTTTCACTGCTTCAAAAACCTAGGTCATCCTATACGCGCGAGAGAAGGATTCTTTTCATTTTTTTGTATAATTTTTGTAAACTATGTATTCACATATTTTACTGGATTCTCACCTTCTGATGTTTAAAAACAAAAGTATTTTATCTGGGTAATTTGAATTGTTCTTGTGTATTGTCAGGAGTAAAGATGAATAGCAATAGGAAAAGCAAAGCTTTTGAATTGAATTCCAAAAATACATGGGAACTCGATATAAGTTTTAATTCACTCCCATGTGAAAACAGATGATTATTTGGAAACTCAAAGAGACTCATAAGTGTAATCCACAAAGAGTGAATTTGACTGTTAAGGATTGGCAAAAAAAGGTTCCCGATCATCCAGCTTTACATGAACAAATTATGTTGTCGATTTTACAAGATTTTTCCTTGAAGTTTAAAATGCCAGTAATTTTTGCGGGACAATGCGAGCATTTACACGCATTTAATATTTTATTTGTTATTAAACGAAATAAAATTAGAATTGTATTAATAAATCTAATTTTCTTTGTTTTGATCTTTAAAGTCACACCTTGTCCTATATGTGAGATTGTCTTATATTCGAGTAAATATGGTGTTTTGTTATGTATTAGGTATAACAGGAAAAATATTTCTTTTAGGACTGATTGTCACAAACAATAATAATATTGATTGTTATTTATTCCAGCAATTAAAATGAAAACCAGTTACTAAGTTACAAATTAAAAACTTTATTAGTTTAAATCAATAATTTTTCAACTAAATAACTTGTTTCTTGATTAACTTTTATTTTTAAAATTATATTGTTTCTTCATTTTGAATGTTTACTCATGTCATATTGACATACTGCAATTTAAAAATGTATCTTTAGAGTAGAAAATATTGAAAAAACCAAAAAACTTTATTGGACTTTTTGTTTTATTAATAATGTTTATGTAGATAATTGAATGAATTATTACATAAACACCATATTATAATACATATGTCCATCTAATTTAGATATGTAAAAGATAATCTGGAAGTAACAAAACAAGTAATGTAAAAAGAAATTTTTAAAAATTATCTTATTGTGTGTTTTGTAATAACATTTCTTTATAATTTATTATGACTAATTTATTGTAGTGTCAGCAAATAAATTATCATATTATGAGTTTAATATATCATTATGATCAAAGTAATTAACTATATTATATTATTTTATAATTATGCAATGTTGTTAATTTATTTAAATTTCTGTTGTTTAATTTTGTTTGTTTGTTTATTTATTTCTGATGATAATTTTCTCAGGAAATCTCTTCAGCAGAAATTAATGGATTTATATATAGCTGGATGCTCGACATCTTTTAAAAATAAAGTGTGTATATATATTTATATAAGACAAATATAATTTTTCATTTAAATTTAAATATAAATTATCCTGATTATAATTTTATTATTTTCAGAATCTTTTTGGAGGTTCTCAGTTATTAGAGAAATTGGTTATAAAAGAAAAGTTAAATTGTTTAGTTGTTAATTTATATCTTGGAAATGAAGGTTATTCTCTCATGTTAAAAACTAGAACTGGTTGTGATACAGAAACTATTCGTCTACCATATGAGGTTAGTTTGGTTACAAGTTTTATTGTGTGAAAATTTTTTTTTGTAATTTTTTATGTTACTTCTTTTTAAATTATAGGAAGGAGAAATTTTACAATATATTGATAATGAAGAGGTATGGCATAGATTAATATTAGCAAATGTATATAATATAAATATATATACTAAACAGATTAATTTTATTTTAGCTTCCTCCACTTTTAATAGACTTACTAGAAAGATCCCAGGTAAGCAACAATTACAATAAAGTTGAGTCTCAATTGAATCTTTTTTATAATTTATTGAAATTTTATTATTTCAGGCTAATCTTTTTTATAATGGCTGTGTTATTGTTGAAGTAAGAGACTACAGACGTACTTCCAATCCTTCAACCTGTGATTATCATCATGTCTTGTTAAGACCTACAACTCAGGTGAGAATTGAATTAATGCAGCTAATTTAAATATATTTAAAAATGGAAATATTAAAAGTATTTTATATTTCTAGACAATTATAAGTGATGTTGGAATGCTCACTAATGATGGACAGAAATGGACTTGGGATGAACGGCAGGCATTAGAAGCTGCTCTGCTGTTAGCTACTTCTGAACCTTTATGTCTCAATCCGTCTGTGTCAGTTGCAATATTAGCTAATCATTTACATCATCGCAAGCATTTATTTTCAAGAAGATCGTTTAAGAAGTAAAATATTTTTCATTTATAAAATTGAATATTTAAAAAAAAATACAAATATCAGATTTAACAAATAAATTGTTTTATTAAAAATTTTTAGATTAGCCAGAAAACATTCCCAAGCAAATATAAATAAGAAACGAAAATTTGAACATTGTCCAGCTCCTCCAAATCTTAAATTATATGATTTTCTTGCAAAACGTAGAAATAAATCTAATAGCCAACCTCTTATTAATTTAAAACTGTCTAAACAGGTAAGTTTAATGGAAAATGAAAAATTTAAATACAAAAATTGATCATACTAACAGTTTGTGTTTTACAGGTTACTGATAACTGGAAGCAGCAAGAAGTCAGTTTGAAATCTCCAGAGTCAATTGAGGTCTGAGGTCAATTTTTATTTTATTTAGTTTGTTTTTTAGCATCTTTTAAAATTATGCTTTCAAATAGGTTGAAAAATATGCTATTTCAAATGCTTGTTTAAAAGATCTTAAAGATTACACAGCAGCAGATCATGATTTGGTATGTATGAATTATATTGAATTAATTTTAAAGTTTTTAAAGCTTATTTTCTAATAAACTTTTTGTTGATTGTAGACTGTTGTAGAAGAATACATTATGGAAGCAGAAAAAACTCCAGAGAAGAAACAATATACACATATTACAATATTATTTCGTGCTTCTGCTCAAGAATACTTTGGAAAGTTATCTATTGGTCAGGATGCACAACAAATTGGAACAAGCTGTTGGTAGGTATAACAAAAAAATTAATGATAAGGCTATATTTGTACGTTTTAAAATTTTTTAATGAATTTTTTATTTTTCATTATTGTATAGTTTTAAATTAGGAAATTCTGAAAATGTAAAAAAGTAAGTCTGTTTTATTAGTTGAAATTAATATTATAATTAAAATAGGATGTAACAACAATAATAATACAAATATATTAAAATTTTAGATACATCGATCAGTTCACAGAGATATTTACTGAAGAAGGTCGTAAACATGTGAAAATCACTCATTCTGTTCCTGGTCAGCCACCTAAAATAACTCATACACCCAGGCCTTCAGAATTTATGAATGCTATTGTTAATTCTTCAACTCTGGAATTAGCTAGTGAAATTTCTCTAGCTTCATCAGAAACTAGCAAAATTACAGTTAGTCATATATATATATATTTTTATGATATATCAGTAATAGATTTTAATTATAAATTATCAAAAAAATATATTGCTGTGGATTTAAATTTTAGGCTGAAACTACAGATTCAGCAATCAGTAAGAAGATGTCAATAATATCCAAGTTAGTTTCTTCAAATACTAATAATTTCTCAAATTCTGTTGAAGCTAATAATAGTAAGTGATGCAAATTTCATACAAATTAAGATGAATGTACATATTTTTTTTACAAAATATGTGCTTTAGATCTCGCTGGGTCTTCTAGATCAACAGTTGCATCACTTGCAGCTATAGATTCATCTTCGTTGTCTCAACCAAAGTAAGTTTAAAATTGTTAAAATTCTTTTTAAACTAACAGTAATGTACACTTGAAAATATTTTTTATTTAGTTACTAAACTGATGCTTAGCATTTTAATTACCAGCTAAATATTATAATTGATTATTTATTTATTTTCATTTTATAACTGCATTTTTAATAAGTAAATATTAGGAAGCATTTGTAGAATATAAATCTTTGAAATAATTTGAGGTAAAAATAATAACAAAGCAAGATTTATTAATTGCATAAAAGAAATTAATGCATTCAGATATACTTACATTAATATACAGTTGAGATACTCAGTTAATTAATTTAACAATAATAACTACATACAAATTAAGAAATCTATAGTGATTCAAAATTGAATGTGATTATAACATTGTTGCTACTTACTGTAGGAAGAAAAAGGGAATTGCATTGTTAGAAAATTTTTCCTTGTAACATGTTTCTAATATAATAATTGAATTTTGTTTCTTTCAAAAAAATATATTTAGAAAATGTAATTTGCTTATATGCAGCAACAAAGCAATAATTCAATTAAAGAATGATTTTGATTATTAGTTTGTTAATTTAAAAGTCTGAAACAATTTCTTGTATCTGATGTTGAACATCATATGAATGTTTTTCTTATCATTAAATCCTTTTCTTATTTCTTAAAACTTATTAATCAAATAGATTTAATAAGTTTTAACTTTTAAATTTATTTTATTCATAAAAAAACATCTGAAGATGAAAAAAATCCCAAAATGTTGTCCAATATCTAATAAAGGATTTCCTTAAAGGATTTTTCAGACTTTTAAAAATAATGATTTTTTATTTTGTTTTAAATCTTCTCAACAATTTTTTATGTATTTTATCCAGTCGTTGTAATTTCACTACCATATTTATGCTTTCTTCCCAAATAATATAATTCCTAAACACTAATTTTCCTCTGCATACAACCATTGATATGTCTAAGGACAACTGTATTCCAGTATTCCAGGACAATATAAACATTAGCCATTTGTCTTATTGAAAAAGTTTAGAAGTTTACTAATGGATGAATTTTATTTAATTAGTCTCCCAATGTATATTCCTGGAGAAATGTAAACATCTTAGAATTATAAAAATCTATTTCTTGATAAAAGAATCCATTTTCAAAAGTAGATTTTTTTTAGGAAGTTTGGATAATATTGTCAATTGTGTGAAGCAAGAATGTAGACATAGTTCTAAAAATGCTTTTATTTCTGCTTCAATCACATTTATCCAGTCATTAATTTTTGAGTCTACTTTATAAAGGATTTAGAAAAAGTTAACTATTCATTACATACATTTATATTAATTTTTAACAGATTGTGAATTTTTGCATATGAAGAATTATATAAAGTATTAAAATAATTTAAAATTCATATGTCAAGTTTAAAATAGAGCATGGATTAAAATAAAATTGAGATAAAATAAATGACATTGAAATTTATAATAAAGTAAAAACAACTACAAAATTAATCACAGCATAAAAGTTACAACTTAAAATTAATTAATTAATTAATTATGTAAAAAATATTTTTAAAATTTAACAATTAATTTCTTAACAGATGAAAAGAAATCACATTCTCCTGATAGCCATAATCATGTTTTGATGCTATAAGCTTTGTGCACTTTAATAACATTAAGTCATTAGCTAAGAATATATATACATTTGTAACTATTTCAACATTCTAATAAGCAAAAATTCTTTCATTTCTTTAGTCAATATTGGCTTGTCTCATAAAACTTTATCTTAATAAACATTGTTATCTCAAAGAGATACATTAAATGGTGAATGATATATGAATACTTGGCTATAATGTTGAAATATGTTCAAGAAAATTAATAAATAAGTGGAGCTGATATAGTAGAAACTGTCTTTTCATTTAACTAGCTAGACCAGATAGAGACCAGCTTTGTTGTTATCTTTTAATGAACATAATATTTACATAACAATGTAATGTCTTCTAACATAAAAATTAAAATTTACAATGTTAGAAGGGTTGTTTATATAATATACATTGTGATTCTCAACTAAGTTTTCAAAAATTGCAATTCTTTTACCATGAATCTCGTTAAGTTTTACAACGATTTTTTCAGGAAAACTTGCAATTCAAGGAAGTAGTGACGTCAAGAAAAATTACTGCTATACTTTTTTAAAATTTATAATAATAAAATTAAACCATCATCACTCATTTCTGCTATACTGTACAACATGGATAATATAATCATGTTCTCTCAACCAAAATTTACAATATTTTTTTTTTGCTTCTCAGTCATGATAAATTCTACTAAAACTTTGTCCAATTTCATAACGTTGTTGATAATTAAAAAATAAATAAACCATTTTAATAAATTATAATACAAATATAAGAGCCCAGCTTGAAATACATAGCTGCAATATAAAGAAAAATAAAATAAAAACCTTTTTAAAAGTAACACTATTTTCTTGACAGACACTATTATGACATAACATACAATTGCAATTTTTCAAGATGAAGTATAAAATGTCTTACCAGATAAACAACAAATTTAATTTCAAACAATAAACAAATGGGAGGAAACCCATAATTTATGTCATTATTTCTTGTGTTTAAAAAGTATTTTTTTTTATATATATAATACATAGTTTTTTATTATTTCATTCATGAGTTTACTTACACACATTTTTACTAATATTAAGGNACTTTATACATTTATTTATTATTTGAATAATATTTGTGCTTTAAAATTCAATTTCATTACCATTACCTAAAATAATCAGCATATTCTCTAGAATAGTTTCTTGAATTTTTTGTTGTTGCCAATGTTGACATCATTTAGAAGGTTTGTAATTGTATTTGTCGTCACACATTCATCAATGTGAAAATCATACATTGTTTTTAAAAAATGGAACAGACTGAATTCTGTAGTTCTGGCTAAGAGGGTTTATTTAGTACACTAACTGTTAGTTCATAACTGCAAAGAAGGACTAAAGATTTTAGTGAGCAGCAAATATTCCGTAACTGAAATAGGAACAGATTAATTTTTACACTAGTAATTTATGGTTGCTAAATGCTTATTTTAGTATGCCTAAAACTCCAAGTTTAGTGAAATAGCATTTCAAAAATGAGATACAGGATTAACTGTTTGGTTTCCAGAAAACTGGCTAGTTTTCAATTGGTGAGCTGTAATACAACTGTAGTTTGTCATGCAGCCAGTTTGTTTTGGTTTCTATCACATAAGTATGAAGCCAATTTCAATGTGACTGCTGGCATATGTGTTAAATACAATTTTCATTAGTTTCCATTGTTTATTTTAAATGTATATTTAGCATGTGTTCAGAGCACTAGAAGATCTGAATCTGGACCACTTCTGGTCCCAAGCTTTCTAGATGTTTAGTCCATTATTGTGTTTATAAAATGTGAATAACATAAGAAAGTTTAGTTCTCAACTGTAAAAAATATAATGGAAGACATAAAAAGTAAATAAAAATACACTTTGTTTTCTTAAAATATAGAATATCTCATTTGTGGAAAAAAGAATGATAATGTAATTTTTACTATTTCACAAATAATTATGTTAAGAATTATACAAATAATATCAACTATTGATAAACAGTTATGTTGTATTTGGTACTAAATTCTTTTCACTTTGTACCTTATTTCAAAATAGTGAAAGGGAAGTTTCAGAAGTGTAAACAAGTTTAAAACTGTCATTTGATGTAGTGAAATTTAAGGGATCAATTAATAACTCATATCAATAAAATAAAAATTGATAACAACATATGATGTAATCATAATAAAATTTAGAAGCAAAGTAAGAAGATTCAAAAACTGGACTAAAATGCTTCAAAATACTATATAAATAAAATATGAATTGAAAACCAAGAAATTTAGATAAAATTATTTTATTTCATTATGATACAAATACAATAAAATAAATTGAAAAAATAAAAATTTTTAATGTTAATAATATCCAATGAGACAGGTTTAAGACTCAGTATTGCTTATCTCTCATTTTAGGGAAGTAAAATTTAACAGTCAGCTTCTAAATAATTATCTGAGTTATTAAACAGAGAAGGGAAAATTACTGGAAATTTATCAGCTTTTAAGATACAAGTTTATAGCAGTGTCTAATATTAGTTATAGTGTGTACACTATAACTAATATTATATATTAGTTATATAATATGTATACACTGCTCTATCATTAATATCTGTACCCAAGGTTTTAGACAAAAAACATGATTTATTGTGTTTGTAATATCTTGTGTTGAAATCTGTCTGCTAAGCTTACTCTTTGTGGCATAATCTCTAAAAACTTTTTTATAAATATTTAATGAAATGTTCCTCTATTCAGCCTTCAACATGGGCATCAGTTCAGCATTTTTCCATGCACAGTCTTCTAGTTCATACAGCTGACATCTCAATCTACCCCAAAGATATTGAATAGGATTGAGATCATGGCTATAGGAAGGCCAATCCAACTTTTCATCACCCATGTCTGCAAAACACTCCATAGAACCTGAGCAATATAGTTTGGTGCATTATCTTATTGGTAAACAGGAACCTTTTTCAAAGTACTGTCACAATGTTGGTAGTGCATAACTGTCCAGAATAAACAGATACCACATAGCATTTATGGTTTCATCAATAACAACTAGTGAGCCCAAGACTTACCATAAAAAGCAGATTTAAACTATGATACAACTACCACAAAACCACTTTTTTGTTGAGATAATACAATCTGGAAGAATTGTTCTTCTGGAGTTTGTTACATCCAAGTACAGCCATCCAACTAGTAGATTGTGAATCATGATTTATCTGTTCATAGAATGAAATTCCACTGATCTACAGTCAAGGATCTGTATTTATTACACCATGTCAATTAGCATCTATCATTTCTGACAATGATCATTGCCTTGGAAATAGCTTACATGATTATTATAGCATGTAACCCATAGCATGGACATCCTTTTTACCATACTTGGGCTGATAGTTATTCCAGGACTCTCACACAGTGTTATCTCTTTCTGTCAGTTTGGGAGGTTTTCTGGAATTTTCCTTGGTGGATTCAGCTCTAGTCATCAGCATTTGCAGGTGCTCTATATGAGTTATCACAGTCATGATATTGCATATAGAACACTTGTAAATGTGGCATCCCAGTATCATTTGATGTTAATTTCTCTGAATACAGCATTTTGCTTACTCCTATTTGCTATGGCTTGTTCAAAGCCCAAAAAACATATTTATAGCCAACACAGTGTTGTATTGTTTACCTGATATCTATTTTTCATATCTGGCATTATCCAGATATTAATGGTAGGGCAGTGTACATATATTTGATGCTTTTGGAAAAATTGTAATGGCAGATGAATGAGTTTGCAATATGTAAAGAATTTCTCTTGTTTTTAGAGATAATTTCATTTCTCTATGGAAGTTGCTATGTTGGACAAGATGCTAGCTCACATGATTCATGAAGTTGGATAATGGTGGGGCATTATCAGTCATTTTGATGTGAATTCTTGTTGTTATGAATGCTGTTTCAGTTTTTTCAAAATGAATAGCTTTTACTATTATTTTGCAGTCTTTCCATTTACATTAAAGTGATGAGTGTTGTTTATTTCACATATGGTTTATAAATGTTAATATAATTACCTGGATACTATTAGTAATGAAATCATTTAAGTAATTCTAGGGTTAAAGGAGTATAGTTTAGAGCTAAACAGTTACCTGGTAGCCAAGATTGTTTTTTGTTATTGTAGCCAGCATCTTGTCCAACTAGTAAGGGTAAGATGGCTGATGAAATTTTTAAGCAAATGTCCTGTCTGAGGTAGAGCTGAAATTCTTCTTTAAAAGGAAGAAAAAACATTAAAAAACAGTGAATAGCAAAAAAATTGGCTGAAATTCTTGATCTAGTTGCATTTTTCCATCATATGTTTTATTGTAAAATATTTCTAAAGTTATGTTTAACATGCTTTAGCAATTTCTTTCTTTTTTTTTTAATATTGTATTGTAAAATGTTTTAACTGAAAAATAATCAGATTGAATATTATGAGTCTAATGCTGATTTTATTACATTAAAATTTCATTAACCATCTTACTCCATGATTGAGATAATATGGCTGATGATGTCAAAATCCAGAGTACTTTTTGAAATCACCTTACAGTCTGTTGATTTTTAAAGTGATATATCAACTTGATACTAGACTTTGTACTTTATTACTGTGGTAACAGAAAACATGAATTGTCAATTTGTATTTCATACTAGCGGTTAAAAAAAATCATGACATCTTCCACAACCTACACTAATATGACTAATAACCATAAAAATGAGTCAGTTTCTCATTAAAATTTCTACACTTTATATAAATATTAATATAATAAGTTATACTGAACATTAGATGGGCTTATGCATGGTCTTGGAAATTATATACTTCATCATTAATTTTGATATATGACTTACAACCAATTCAATTTATGATAGGGGTTCTTGAATAGAACTCGGTCATAATTCAGGAACTAACTGTATAATTAATAAGAAGAATTTTTTATAATGTTACGTTAATAATTTGCATTGAAATTCAGTTGTGTAATGTTCTTTGTTTTGGAAATAATTATTTACTTAGTGTTAATTTAGAACTTCTTCAGCATAAATTATCGACTTTTTAAAATTCACATAAAAGTCATTTAAATGTATAGAAACTGAAATGGATGATTGTATTTATATTTTGTTATTTAGGGCTCGGAGTCCTTCAGTTGTTACCAGTACTCAAGGTCAGTATTTTATATTAATAATAACACATTGTTTTTTTAATTTATATTATTTTACAACGACAGTAATAATAATAATCTCTAGGTGGAAGTGAGATTGTGTTTTCACCTGTCAGCAGTCCTTCCTCCACAGATCCTCAAAATTCTTCTTCCAGCACTCTTTTGTCTCCACCACAAAATATATTATCTGCTGTTAATATCACCAATTTAGGAATTGGAATACCAAATTTGGTAAATTTACTTCGTTTTGTATTTTCAAGTTGTTTCAAAATATCTTTCTTGCTTAGGAATTAATAGGAATTCTCAATAATATGAACATCCAAATCTGATGGTTATATATTAAAGCCAGATTATATCGGGCTATATTACTACTACTATTATTAATTAAATGCTAAGTAATTATTAAAATATTAATTTAATAATTATAATTAAATTAATATTTTAATAGTTAATTTAGAAGGTTCTGGAAGAAAAGAATTAGCCTGAAGCAGGACTCAAACCCGCAACTCTTGATTACCATGTTGTCATATTTCCAGTTACACTACCCAGAACTTATTAATTTAAATATAAAGGTGTTGTAAGTAACTGAGTATGGTTATATCTAAATTAATAAGTTCTAGAAGTGATGATTGGATAAAGGTCTGGATAGAGTAACTGACAACACAGCCATATGTAATAAGTGGGAGTTGTAGGTTTGAGTCCCACTTTTTGTTCTTAATGTTTGCCTCTAGTGCCAAACTACTTAACATTAAATTAATAATAATTGTAGTAATTTAGCCCGATATAATCCAGCAATTGTTTGGCTTTACTGTTTCTCAATATATTTATTTAAGAATTTTTAAGCAAGTTTTAATAATTTAAATTGTTAGTTTAGAAAAATCTTATTGAAAAAAGTACTTAAAGTTGATATAAAGAGTATCAGGAACAATGTAGAATGTAAAAGTTGTAATTAAATTATAACCAATCATTAGTCCTAAGTAGTAGTAGTAATAATAATTACAATAGTTATCATGATAAATTTAAAAATTCTGAGACAAGAAATTTATCTAGAATTATCAAGGTAAACTTCTTGTATTTAAAAGTAGAAGCCTGTTAATTATACATTTAGATTTATACACAGTTAGTAGATAACTATTTGAATGTTTTAAAAATGAAATACTTTTTTTTTTATTTTCATTTAGGTAACACTATCAAATATGACTCAAAGCAGTTCAGTCACCATACCATTGGTAACTGCTTCACAGCCAACTTTGTTGTCATCATCAAGTAACATAGTCATGGCAGGAGTTAGGAATCAGGATGCTTCTTCCATCTCTACCACTTCTAGTCTCTGTTCATCCATTTCTAGTATTGGAACAAGTGTAAAAAGTTTTTTGAAACTAGTTTTAAAAAAATACATTTAAAATGTGCATCTAATTGGGATTCATTTCCATACAACTTTCAGATGGGAAGTGCTGATGTTAATCCTGTGAGTGTTGAAACAGAAAATGTTTCCTCTGATGTTGCTTCAGCTGTCATCTTATCACCAGGTTAATATTATAATTACTTATTGAATTATGTTCTTAGTTTATAGCATCACTTTTAATCAGGGCCGTGGAGTCATAGTCGGAGTCGTCAAAAAATCCGCCGACTCTGACTCCTTTTTACTTCCCAACTTGTAATGTATATAAAATGCAAAAGTATTGGAATCGTGTCAAATTTGATTCTCCAAGTTTCTTTTGCAAATCTACACGTTTGGAGACATCCCGAACCCCTCAAAAAAAGTCAATAAAAGGGGAAAAATTTGCGTGAGTGTGTGTTGGCGTCTAATTTGTTTAATTTCTTTATTTTCTGTTCTTAGATAATAAACAATATCTCAGAATAAGTAAAGTTTAAGAAATGAAATGTGGCACTGTAGCTTGCATATAAAGGAGCATTAATATTATTAAATTTTGGTTCTTAATTAAAGGTCGACAGGGTGAAGACATAAAAGTGGTCATGTGTCATATCTCTTATTGAATATTTTACTCGTTATTAGCGTTCAAAATTTAAAAAATAATAATAATAAAATAAAACTTGTCTCTACCCTCAAAGTAAGCTTTTTTGTCATTTTATAATAGTACAGAAAAAACCTATTAAAATGTTCTCACCTAAGATGCTAGAATGTATATGGGGACATGATTTAGTTCAACCACTTTGATGCTTAATAACTAATTCTTGTGTTAAACATCTGACTCTGATTCTGACCACTCTGACCACAGAAATTATTAGGCTTCAAACAGGGTGAACAAAATCATGCCCCACACACATAGTCTAACATCCACACCTATAGAAAAAACCTCGAATCTTTTGTATATCTCAAAATTTCAAGGTGTCCTGAGTCCAAAAATGTAAAAATTTGGGAGGGGTTGTTTTTTTGACTGAGCGCTACACTTTCCCTTTGTTATATATAACAGCCGGAAAAGTAAAAATTATCGAATACATATTTATATATTACTTAGTCTTATAGCTTTGGAATAAAGAGTTTCTACGTTCTATCTTTATTAGAACTCTATTTATTGAATCTTTTATTTTGAGGTCATGTGATGACATCAGAATTTCCATGTCTCTTTTGGTAACAAGTCCGCTCCTGGTCAGAGTTAGAGTCTGATGGTAAGGAAAAGTCGGAGTTGGAGTTGGTAGATTTTTACGCGACTCCACAGCTCTGCTTTTAATCCACTGGTTATACCGTTTCCTTTAAATCTATAGATTTTTTTTCTCTTTCTATTCTGCAACAGAGAAGGGAGTCTTTAAGAGAGGTCTTTTCTTAACAGGATAGATTCAGACATATACATAAAAATTTTTGAAGATGAATTTTGTTTTGTTTGAGTCTAGGTTGGGACTTTTTTCTTATTATTATTTTAGTTATTAGCCCAGTGTTTTGCTAATATTTTCAATTGTGAATTGTCTAATATTGTTTAGACTTTAGATAATAGAAAACTTAATTGTAAATATAAAATTAAAGACATTTTTAAATTAATTTGAGGACATTTTGTAATTTAACATTATATTGGAAGAATTTGTTGAGAAGAAATTTTTTTTTAAACCTTTCAGTCAAAATGATTGTCAGTTTATTAAATAATCCAGTACCTATGAGGCCAAAGTGATACCAGATTACCAAAAATGTGAATTACTGAACATTTTTACATTTTCTCAAAAATCAATAAGTTATATGGAATATGAGTGCTGCAGATATTGCTGTACATTTTGTAACATCACATGCTGCTGTGTGTTTCTGCTTTTCTTACATAAGCTCAGCATGAAACGGAATATCTCAATTGACAGAATTTAGTTGCTTAGTCTGAATGATGATCAGACTAAAGTGTGTTAAAACTAATTGAAAAACTTGCAAAAATGTTAATGAACTTGTTATTGTTGAAAATCAACATTCACAATTATTCATATGCTTTTATTTCTTTTATTAATATATTTTCATATATTTGAAAACTAAATACTCTAATATTTAGTTTTCAAATATATATACTACTTTTGTTTAGCAAAAGCTACAACTGCTCCAAATATCAAACCTGTTTTTACATGTGTTGCCCTCACATTGGATATGGGACAACATATATCAGTCAGTGCATTACTGAATACAAAATGTGTACTAACTCTAAAGAAGTAAGGATCTTTTAGCACAATACAATGTAGATTAGCAACAGTGTCCAATCCTATACAAACAAGGTGCTGCAATGAAATGAGTCATTTATCCTGATTGTATCGCCTGGATATTGTAGTCAGCCTCCCAACATGTAAAAATGTGCACAGTTACATTTCCTACTTTTACCTTGATTTCCATCCAGTGATTATGTGTTATCTTTTGTAAATATTTTTGATTTGACAATATTATATATTTAACAAATTACTGTTTTGATCAGAATATAACTCAACCTATTATTATTTATTTTATTTGCATATAGAATATTAACAATTTGATTTTAAAAAAAAATTGGTTAGTTATTGAAACAATACTTGACTTTCATCTTTATCAAAACATCATTCATTGTCATCATTCCTGTTTCTTACTTCGTTGTCATCTTCAGTCTCCTTGATCATCATCCACTGTTCCATCCAAGCTGTTGATAAGATTTCTCAAATCCCTCTATAATTGTGTCTTCAACAATAATTTCTTATAATTCTGTTATTAATCTAACTTTACAAGAATTTGTTGCATTTTTTTACTTTTTATTTTCCTGCCTTTTATACAGAGGGAAAGTATAGCGATGGGGCAAAAGTGACTCCCTAGATTTTTACATTTTTGGACTTAGAGCACCTTGTACTGTCCATAAATGCAAAAGAATTCTGGGATAATTTCTATATGTATGGATGTTTGTGTGTGGGGGGCACGATTTTGTTCACCCTGTTTGAAGCTTAATAACTCCTGTGCTTTTTGTCGAAAATTTCTGAAATTTTGCTGGACAGTTTGTTTATTAGGGGATTGATGCTATTAAATCTTGGTGATTATCACCATTTACAATTTTTTATAAAACTTATCCCTACCCTCAAAATTAAGCTTTTTGCCGTTTTATAGTAGTTAAAAATATAAAAAGTTTTAATAAAATATAACAGATGGCACCACCAAAGTTTTAAATGTTGCCGGGAAAGTTGAGTAACTCATTGCTGGTTTATTATCTACTATTGCTTGTGAAACTTAGTCTCATTTAATTACATTTTTTTTTCTTTTCAAAATTTAAAGTAATTTTGAAAAGAAAGAATTAATCCGCACAAATGAATTTGATTGATTGCTTGATAATTTCTACATCACATAATAGATATACCAGGTGATGATAGTCTCTAACCTCACTTAACGGCTAATTTTTTTATACCGATCTATAAAATTTACAATCTCACGGTAATAAACACAACTTATACTTTATATTAATCGTTTAGTAAGTAGCTTGGGGAATTGCGAGAAACTATGCTTTTGTTTTTGCAAAAATTTCTTTAAACGTTATAAATGTTCTCTGTTTTTCAGATGCTTCTTCGTTGTCTTCGGGCTCGATGACGCCGCAGCGAAGACACAAATTCCAGATGGCACTGCAGAGACAGTTCCATCAACAGGCCAAACCTCAACAACCATTGGCGCCTCGAACTAAGAGCAAGAAGAAAACGAGTTCCAATTCGTCATCCAAATGACGTCGGTTCGATTTTAGCCAACGATGCGAGCGTTTTAAGAAAAACTTCGTCGTTTTACGTTCCTGATGCATGTTTTTATACGAGAGAAACTTTCTCGATACGTTGAACGAAACTGGATTTATTCGGCGCGCGGAAATTCAAATTTTATATGGAAATTTCCATTATTTATTTTTGCTGAGATGTTTATTGTTTCCAGGAAATTTTATTTAATAGCGTCTTTATTTATGCTGTCCCTAAATGAATTTTAAAACATTTTTTATTTTTTCGATTTATCGCCCGAACTGTATATATTTTGCGGTTTTATCGTGAACGGATTATAATTTTCAAAGTATTTAATATTTTAGGATAACGATAATTAATAAATTTCTGCCTCGATACATTTTTTAAATGCTGCCGACAACGTCGTGATCTATATAAAAGCATTACATCTACGTGTAACAATAAAAATATAGTTACATATCCGATTTTTAACAAATTGAAAAGTTTGTTTATATATGAATTCTAAATGGTTAACGGCAATTCTTTGTATCGATGCACGCAAATATATATATATATATATATTTGTATATTGTCCTCATATTAAAGTTTTATATATATAAACTGTTTTTCCGCCATTGTAACTTTCGTTGTTAATTTTTTTTTAAAACCAATTTTACTGAATTTTCTTTAGCAACAATATACAAAAATGCAAACTCGTATAAAACTCGGGATTTTTTCTTTTTTTTTTTTGTACATTTTTTAAAACAAGCGACTTACAAAGGAGAGGACCGTATTTAACGAGTAATTTCCAAATTTTTCACAATTACAAACGAGAAATATTTACAAGGATTTTGATCCCTGGTCATTATACACAAACTGTACAATGGACGATACGATCGTCGCGCTTAAATGGAACAATTCAGATTAGTGGTGTACAAATCTGGTGACATCTGCTCAGCAGATTTACGGTGTAGTTCGAGTGTGCAACGTGTTCTTTACTGATAAAGTCAAAATAAATAAAAATATTACGTCATTTTTACCGTTTACGAGGTTAAATTTCGTACGAATGATAAGTGATGGATGTACTGTACATCTTAAATTCGTTTTACGAAGGTATTGCTTACGCCGTCCGAATCGTTTTGGTTGTAAGATAGAACGAAGACGCTTTATCGATGCAAAATTGCCCTCCACGTGAACGATACGTACTGTACTTGTTTCGGTATGACGCTATCACAGAACATTCTAGAAATGTACGAATTTAAGTTTGTTCCGTGTATTCCGAAGCGATGATTTCCCTCCTTTTCCATCTCTCCAAAGGAAAATTTGTGGTGGCGGAACTTTGCACGTTTCTGGTCCTCAGCGGTTTGGGGGAAGACATTCCGAAAAATGGTAATATTCTGCTACTAGAATGTTCCGTCGATTCCCCTCTCGAATTCTTTTTGTCTCTGTGTCCTAGAGACAGTCCGGACAATATAGAAGTGGAAGCGCTTTTTGGCAATACTTTGTCGACATCCGATTCGGACGTTTTTGTCTTAGGATCTTCCTGTTTCGGTCTGCGGCGAGGCATTTTGATTGTTATAGTCACTTCTTCGTTAATGTCCGACACGTGAAACGAAGGAGAGGTGGGATGCCTGTTCTTGCCGTACGGGCGATTTCCCCCCTTCTTGTGCCTCTCGCCGTTCTCATCCTCCGAAGCTTCGCTGATTTCCAATTGAGGCACTATGACGGGTCCTCCGTCGGCACGCGACAAAGGCACCATAACCGTAAATGACGTGGTCACGTCTGGACTGTCCAAAGATTCTGAAGGACTGTTAGACATTTCGGTGCTGGATGCTTCGGCTCGAGAGATCTCGGCCAGGGTCAAAGGTCGAGTAAGACTCTTCCTTCCTTGTTCGTTGGACGATTTTCCCTTTGACTTCTTTTCCCTTTTTCTGGATCGATCTTTAGATAGAAACTGGCGGAGATAATTCTCTTCTTCCTTACTCACAATGGGTGGACTTTCGTTGGGTAGAGTGCTGCTTTTATCGTCGTAGCTGAAAATTAATTGTACGAATTAGTGTGTCGATTATTAAACACGGAAGTTTAGAGTTATCGAGTGAAAATTACTCTGGTGAGCTGTAATATCTGCGACGAAGAAGTACGTCCAGAGCTTCTGGATCGTCCACCAGCAATCTGCGATAAGCCGCGTCTAGATTTTCCGCGGAAACCTTCAACAGGGGGAAAAAATTTAAAAGTAAGTTGCGAATATACAGAATGTATAAATAACTTGTTTAGCTTCTTACTTCGAATAGTTTTTCGTTGTTGTCGATGAGACTCTTCACAACTAAAATGACGTCGCATCGTTCTTGAACCCTGCTGACGTTTTCGACCAGGAATTCGTAGTCTTTTCCGGTTTTGGTCATACGAAGAATGTTGGGTCCGAAGAGGGTAGCTAAGTTGTGAGAATCCATTTTATTACCTGGTAACTAGACGGACAAATCGTTACGAAATCGCATTTTTGTGTACAATTTACGAATAAAACTAAGATACCTACAAATTCTTTGTTTTCGGATAGTCTGTCCGAAGAGTTATCCGCTACTTTGACTAGAAAATTAAGTAAGGCCCACAAAGTGTCTCTGTTTGTAACGGGCAGAAGATTTAACAGCAGTTGCAACATTTCGACTCGACCTATGGGCAAACGGGGTCCTGGAACAAAACCGTTGCAAATAACTCAAATCGTAACACAAGTGAAAATAAGCATTTGTCAAGAAATAAAAACTAACTTTGCGTGGATAAGAAAGCTTGATAGAGTTCCCTGGTCAGAAGAGGTTCGGGTAAATCGCGAAAGTATTCTTTGAGAAGTTGAGCAACGTCGTGAGGATGATGCTCATCGTTTAGTTTCACTTCTTTGCCACTATCGAAATCGTCCCTCAGCTATAAATAAGTCGAAAATTCAATTTACTAATTAATTAAAAATGATAATTTTTTCTAGAGTAAATAATAATTCACTCGCCTGTCTCACTCTCTTTTTTGAACTGCTGACGCGGAAAATACCTAACACGTGTAGCCCTAAATTTAAGAAATAATAATAATTTTGTGATAAATTTGTGAATTAATACGGATAATGCAGTTTATTAAGAAACAATACCGTAAGTTTCTATGTGTCTGAAACAAGCAATGACGACTGCGGGAACTTGAGGTCCATTGGTGTAAAGACTATTGGTAGATCCCTGGCTCCAGCCATCCGAAGATCCGATATCCAATCTACCTAGGTCCAGACAGGTGTGTTTGGCGATAGACAGAGATTCGATGGATCCGCTGTCCTGCACGGATGAATCTGTTAACAGTTGGAACAACAAACAAAATTACAAGAAAAAATGCGAAGCTCACCGGAGTCCTGGCCAGGGAAGACGCAGAAGTTTCGCTAACCGTGTCGTTGGATGGTGCTCTTCCCGATGACACGTCCTCCTCGCTTCTACTGGCCACGGGAGTGTCGGGCGCTTCCCTCAAAAGAGCCGACGACCTCTGTTTAACTAACCTCTCGTTTTGTAGACACTGACAAATGGGGATACCGAACACAAGTCCTTCGGACGGAACTTCTGACGAGGAAAGAAAACATTCGTTGTATATTATTTCATATATTGTATATACAGTATAATAGTATATATATTGCAAAACTTTACAATAGATAAATAAATCTATAAAAGGTATAAAAATTTCTTTACTTGATCGAGATACCCTTTGCTTTTCATTCGTTTTTTTTCTTTTAATTTAAATATGATGATATTTTAATTACCTCAGATTAGTGTAAAAACGAATTGGAATTTGTTTTCCAGACAAATGTGTGATGCCTAAAGGCGAATTAGAAAATTGGCAAGTTCCATTTCAAACTCGAATCGGTACTCAAGAATTTGTTATTATTCAGCCATTTCATTACGCGTAATTTCGATTAAATGAACAGCGCCATTTATAGTTAAAATATAAATCTGTAATTTTTAATTGCGTTCACCACACTGGCTACTCCATCGTTTGTTCAGCTACTCCCCGAAAATTCCTGGGGTTTTTCGATTCGTCTGAATTCGTTTCCGGGCATCCAGGACGGTAGGCTAACGCCATAAGACTGATTCACACTATACAACTGACCGAAGGAAGGCTACCGACCATTACTGTACCAACAAACATTGTATTGCGAGTTTTTAATGAAGGTTTTCACATCGACTGTTACAGACACAAAACGTTACCAACAGTTGTCGGCCATTGTCTTTGGAGAGAGAGTTTTGCCTGTCGATGTCTATCCATTCTAGTTACACGCGGCTGATGTGAACAGTCAGTCGCCTGTTGTTAAGTACTGATGCTTTTGGTGCTAATTTTTTGTTTTTAAATATGAGATTATGGGTACGAACGAAGCGGGTTTTTTCCCCACATCCATCTTGGGTTCAATCAAACTCACAATGGAGGCGACCGGGTGGTGTGAAACAAGACACGTTGACCATGAAAATTCCGGACCGGATTGCTCGTACAAATTTGATCCCGGGTTCCCCAGAGTGGTAGGCCGAAGCCTTTATTTTCTCGGCTCGGCGTTTGAATGACGCTAAAATTATTACACGAATAACATTCAAACGTCAAAATGCTAAAATCCGTTGGAAAATCTTTGGTATTCAAACTAGTGGAAACTGTGAGGTTGAGACGAGAAACTAGGAAAGAGAAGGAAACAAAACCTAATGAGATAATTTGCGTACTAATTATATTAATAAATAAATGTTTTTCTGTTAGAATTTAATTGATGCAGTAAATAAAGGAAAGGAAAAAACACTGTATATAAATAAATACTAAAAATCAAAGAAAATAAAGAAATAAACAAGAAAGTTTATTGAAATTTCTACATTAGACGAAAACATTTATTTATTTTGTGATGTGAGATATCGAAACAAATAATAGACCCATTTCCTTTTAGGACTTGTTTACAGAATTGAATTAGATTAGTTGAAACGAAATATCAACATACTACAAGGTATACAACGCCTCTATCTTATCCATTTATTAAAAGATCTCCGATATTTATTATCCAGATTATCGGGCACTTTTATGGAAAATAAACAAAATCGTCAGTCAAGTGATTCTTTAAACTTTCAAAGTACTGTGTTCCTCTATTTACCGTTTTCTAAGGCTAAATCCCGGCGTTTTCCGTCGTTTCATGATACTATCCCCATTTCTGTATTGTAATTAATAATAATTCTTTTTATAAAATGTAAACATTACATATATTGATAATTATGTAACTGTAAATGATATTTAAAATTTTAATATAAAAAATAATAGAGAGTAAGATAAAAGAGAATGTAATTTGAAATAATGAGGAGCAAACTAATGATAAAAATCATTCTTAAAAATAAGCAGAAGACATTTAAATTAATGTACAGCTTCTTGCCGTCTAGTTCTTCGAGGCGTTGAGAGTAAAATTTTGATGTCTTATATTTTACTTTTATGAGATTTTAGATATTTTTGCTAATGTACTTCTCGCCCCTTTTGAATGTACTATTTTTTTTTTTTTTTTTTTTGTGAAAAATCTGTTTTTATTCAAACGTTTTATGTCTTTCTATTTTCGACTCTGCTGCCACGTGGGTACTAGAAAGTCGTTTTTCGTGTCCATCGTAAGTTCCATTAGGCCCGCAATGGGGATGACCGGGAGTGAGAAACGGCACCAGACATATTCGTGACAGACCGTCCACGAAAAATTATTGAATTGCCTCTCCTGGATTTAATCTCGCCACCCTCAGAGAGACAGGCTAACGCTGTAACCGCCTTGGTCATCCGGCCTCGAACGTTTTATGCCATTGAGTTTGAGGTAATAATTGAGTGGGGTTAATGTAGCTTTATTTTATCGTGTGTGTTCATGAAGTAGATCTGTTAATGCTATCGTGATTCATTGAGAATAAATCCATTTTTATTTTAGATTATGAAACTAGAATACAAATGAATTATTCGGGACTCAATGGACTTAACACTCATATCCTCATAATTATTACTATACGAACAATCATCTGACAATCATCATAACATTGATATACAGATTGTGCTTTTGTTTTTTATCCGAAATGCAATACAGTATGTATATTCGAAAATGACGATTTCATTCAATAGAGGAACAAAATAAATGAAATACAGTGGAACCTGCTTAAGGTGACTAACCTTGGGACTAAGATAAATGGTCACTACAGAAAAATAGTCATTATAGAAAAGTGGAGAATACATACAGTACATTATAACAATCTCCGTGACACATTGTTTTGTAGGTTTTGTGAGTTTATTTCTATTAATTTTGACAGCTGTGATTTTAAATAGCAGAATATATATTAATTGTGTCAAAAACTGTATAAACTGTAATCTTCTGTTTGGAATTTCCCACTGTTATGTCATCTACATCATTTGATTCTCCAAGTATCTTCTCTGAAATGACGCGTCTTTGTGTGTGTGAGAAAGCGATTTCATGATTCAAACGAGCCATTTGATACATTAAAGTTCTGAATATAAAGTTTCTCTGCAAATGTGAATGCCAGACACACGAGCATTCATGCCATTCATTTGCTGAAACCATTTCAGAACAGCAGCATTTATCTCAAAATTTGCTATCTTTCTTACTTTTCTGAAACAGTCTCCATTTTTATAAAGTTTAAGGTATTCTGTCTTGCATTTACGAATGTTGTTAACACATATTTTACTTATCCGGAACTTTGCTGCTGTTTTTTTGTTGACTGTTGGGTTCAAGATACTTGATAACCTCAACTTTTTCTTTCAGAGAAAGCTCTCTGTATGGCTTGGTTTGAGTTGTAATTGAGGACTGCAGAGCTGTAGATGAATATATCTTAGATGCTCTCAGTAATGAACAAAACATGCAAAAGTACAGAATAAACTAATGTATGACAAATAGGAAAGAAACTCAGTACAGTAGAAAACGGTGTGATATTTCAGGAGTTTTCTAAATTCTGCCTGGTAAAGTTGCTAGACATTTAAGATTTTTATAGCCTAAATAATTATAAAGTCCAGCCCAAAAGTAACCGAAAATTTTAATCACTAGTGCCCAGATAGTTAGATGTTGACCTAAAAAAGCATATTTCAGAGATAACGAAATTATTTCTCATTTTTCAGTTTTTAGAACGTTTATTTATAAACATCGCTAAACCCGATGAAATATAGCTAATCACCAAACATAAACTAGCCCGATGGATTTACGGCATATGTTTGGTGATTCGTTTATTTAACATTTTTAATGAAATATGGATTGAATAATTTCTAATGGTAACTGTCGTACTACAATAATGAAGCATTTTCTGGTAATGGAAAATACTTTTGAAGTAAATATTAAAATATATGAAGGCAGATGTTGACCTGCAAGTAGAATTAACTAAACACACTCAAGAAAACCTTTAAATATGCAGCCGTATTTATTAAATTCTAACGTTTTCGGTCATATTCAATGACCTTTCTCAAGAAAAAACCGAAAAAATCGAACTCCGAACTTGAATTAACGATACAAGCGTTTTGGAACGTTTTTTAAAAATAATATTCTACTGGAATAACGCCATCTCTATATA